AAAATGTCTCATATGGTTGTTATATGGGTGAAGGTCGATCTCCCAATATCTAGCAAACCGATTTAAGTAGCTCGTTTTCCTGTTGTTTCGTTTTTCCGGGCTCATCGTTTTTTAAAGTAATCCGTTACTGTCAGATACTGTCAGTTCCTGTCGCCATGCAAAGTCGACGTGTGTTGATAGCAATGTCTGTCGGTTGTTGTGCGGAATCACGTAAACATAGTGATTACATTCTCTTTGTACGGAATCATTTTGAACCTTGAAGTTTTCCAGATGTTATTTCAAAACGTGTGCAAACACAAGCAAATATAAAAAATAAACTGGAAGGTAACGTAAAAAAGTACGGTTTTAACGTAAATATTTACATATCCCACTGCAGGACAAAGGCCTCCTCTGTAAAGAGAGTGGGTATAAGGGCACAGTCCAGAACGCGACCCGACTGGATTGGCAGACTTCAAATATCGTCAAAACATTTTTTTTTGTTATTACTTTTTTCGCCGCCGTTATAGGTCAGGATGGTATCTGAACAAAATACATGAAAATAACACCCCAATTTTCGCTGTAATTATATATTGACGCTATTACTACGACACCGTGCTTTATAAGATTTCATAAGAGCATTTTTTTCCGAGGAGTTTGCGACATAATGGAGTCGGTCTGGCTCTATTTCTAACGATTTCAATTTGGTTTCGGAACAATGTGTTGGTGAATTGCGATATTTGACCCTCTACTCAAAATTGGTTCTATCGAGTTCGATTCATTGCCAGTAAATTGCTACGCCTTTAACAGGATCAACGTCGATTAATGAAAAATAATGAAACGATATGCGGGAAAAACGCCGTGAAATTCTTTTTTAGGATGAAAAAAATATTATTGCGGAGAAGAGCTACAATAAACAAAATAAGGTGTATGCCGACACTAGCCCTTCTCCAGTCCAGACTTGAAAGACTCCAGAATCTTTTGGATTATAAAATATGGCAACACTTGAAGGAAAAGTCGTGATTAAATCCTCTTCTTGATTTGGAGTCTAACCAGGATCCAGGATCAAAGCACCCGCCGATATTGATATGAATCTGGTTCGTGCTGCTAGACGTGGCCGTGCAGGTTGAAGGCTTTTATTCAAAATCATTTTGAATAAGTTTAGTTAGTAATTATCGATGTTTTAGTGACCTAGTTAATTATGCTATATAAATGGTTATTGTAAAAACAAACGTGTGTCAATTCTTTCATAATAAACATATGACAGAGACCCGACTCGGTATAACTAATAAGTAATTTATAAATAATAAGTAATTAGCTTAGTAAGTAATTTACTTATGCATGGAAATATTTTTGATTGCAATTTCCAATCAAAACAATTTTACATGTTGCATAATTATTTATTCACCTTTACAAACAAGACTCATTAATAAATTCCATACATATTCAGGTACTTTTAACGATTCCGCTTACGTAGTCAGACATCCCCGAATATATATATATATATATATATATATATATATATATATATATATATATATATATATGTATATGTTATGTATAGCAGGTTGGTGAGTTATTATTTTATCCAATACAATTTAAATTGTGACCGTGCGTATACGCACTGTAAGTGCGTGAGGTTTTCTATGAGCTATTGAGGGTCATAATGAGAACCTCGTTATTTTTTATAATATAAGCAACTTATTGAACATTAAATATTTTGTTAATAATTAATATTTTGTGTTTAATAAATTTATATAGTAAAGTTAATAAAACCGAAGAATTATTGCATGTTCACTATTACGACCTATGTTCTTTAGCTTCATTACGCTTTCACATTATACGCCTTCACCGCGTTAATCTTTTATTTCTTAAATTCCGGCAATATTTCCACATGTATAAATAGCATCATAAGTTGTAAGATTTTTTAACTATATCTACATACATATAAGCTAGTACTTGATAAAAGTTTGCTAGATAGTGTAAGATCAGCCTTCACCCGTATGACAACCATATGAGACATATTTTTTCTGAAATGTTATTGATTTATAAACACGTCAATGATGACTTGCAGATTGAAAAGTGATCATGGCTATTTTTAATAAAATTAATTTTAAAGAATTTTTTAACGTAACCGTCACTCTTCTAACATAGGAAAAAATTTAGTTTTAATTGATACATGATTTTATTTTGCACTACCTGAAGTTTCTGCAGGTTTGTTTTCCATTTCGTAAGTCCGGGTTTGATTTATTACGTCTATCACCAATTGTGATCGTGATGCTGAGTATTTTGTGTTTATATAAGTTTTTTAATAACTTGTTTTAATTATGCAGTCGTGATTTGAAAATGATTAGACCTTCAATAATTTTCTAGTTAAAATGTGATATAAATTTTAGAAATAGAACAGCTATGCAGACGACACAAAAGATAAAAATCGCAATAAAAAAACATACACCATGTGGTAGGCCAAAAGCCTTCGCTGTTGCACGAAAGGGCCGTCCGAGGAAGTACCACGATCACACAGAAGACCAACGTGAAGTGAAAGTGTTTTAGTGCTGCGTTTCGTCTGGTGAGTGACGTAACCGGAGCCCATGTTATTATAAGGTGGCAACGCATCTGCAACGCTAGGTTTGTTGTAAATGTCCATGTATCATTAACATTATGTAAAATAATAATCTAAGAGCTATTTCAATCAAGCGATGTATGGACACCGTATGTAAAATCCTTAATATGTATAATTAATTAGTAATAGTAGTAGTTAGGGTCTTTACTTGTGCCGTGAATCCCAGTTTTGCTTTATATTTAATTACTACGCATTATTATTACAAAGGCGAAAGTTTTGTGTTTTGTAAGTTGTGCGTTGCACACATTTGTATATTAAACTTTCATTACAAAGTAATATTTCATATTATACCCTTTAAAATATCCCAAGATCGCAGAATTAACATTTCGGGGATATACCCACTTGCCCACAGAATAGTATCCAAAAATAACCAAGTATTCGTTTGGAAGCTTACAAATAGTACCTACATTTGAAAAAGAAATGGACAGATTAGTTTTAATTGTTACCTTTTATCGTTTATCAATATTTCTGATATTAAAGTAAATATGAAGTTCAAGATTATAGATATCTCCAGTATTCTATATGTGGTATTTGATTTACTATAAATACAGGTCTTTTCTAACAAATTTTACATTCATGCGTGACTTACAATACCACTACAATGTTAAATAACATAAAAATATTGTTAGTATGACAGTTCGTCAATATTTTTTTTTGTTTGCACATATTTTCATTCTCGCTATTTACACTACGTGTACGAGTAATATGAAAATATTACTTAACCATGTCCTCACATACCATGACCTCACAGAAGAACGGCGTGAAGTGGAAGTGTTATACTTCTGCGTTTCGTCTGATTAGTGAGGTAGCCGGGGCCCACTTTATTAAAAGGTGGCAACACATCTGCAACCCTCCGGGTGTTGCAAATGTTAATGGGCGACGGTTATCACTTAATATCAGGTGAACCACCAGCTCGCTTTGGAATTAAGTACGCCTTTTTATTGTTTGTGTATAAAGGATAAATAAATAAACAAGTAAATCGTTCGTTGTTAAAACTTTATATCACAATATTTTTTAGATTTATTAAGATCCAAGTCTCTGTGAAATCGAAGTTAGAAGAATTAATTGAAACCCGTCGTAGTAGTATTTTCTTGATGAGCACACAGTGGTAGATATCCATTATTAAAATTTTAATTTGTAGAAAATAGGAACGAACAGTTTTTCGCCACTGTGAGAATCGAACCCACGTCTTCGGGATTCGCGGCCTGACGCTCTAGCCACTTAGCTAATCGGCTGATTGCCTAACAATGCCTGCGTTTTAAACTAAAATCAATTCGTTTAAAAACGCAGTCAACGATACGTTAAGTCAACGGAACATAAGCGTAACGAATTGAAAACCTTACGTTGAAAAAAACTTATGTTGAAAAAAACGTCACAGAGTTGAGTTGAAATGTTTGTTTAATTTTATGAAGGTCATGTTTAAGTTCGCTTTCTTTATTTTAGTTTGACAGTTTGTGAATAGTTGCGCGCAAGGTTATAGAATATTTTGCGGCTTTGTGTAAATATTATCAGAACTTTACTTTATGTTTAGTGGTTTTTTTGAGAATTTGTTAATTTTTAATTAGTTATATTTTGAATTTTATTTTATGTTACTAGTTTTGTTTAAGTATCAGAATTTTACTTTGTGGTTAGTGTTTTCTTTAATTTCACTTTATGATTATTTAAGTGTATAGAGGACTGTGGGTACAAAATTCAAAATAATTGAACGTATTAACAGTGAGTTATGGCTTTATACCTAAAAAGACAGTTCTAGCGGAAAAGCTGTTTGTAATGTATGCGAGGAGAAAATATGGAACAAATTGACCACGAACTTTAAAAAGTACTTGTGGAAGTGAAGTGGAAATATATTTAAATTATTTAAATATTTTCATCAGTGTTTTAGTACTAATCTTCAGCGTATGATGGTTGATTTTGATAAGAAAAAAAAAAAATATTTTCGAACAAAAGAAAAAAAAATCAGATTTGTTAGATTTATGCATAGATCTAGCTTTCATCGGTTTTCCCTAATAGAAGAAAGGGCTTGCAATTTAACATACTTATGTATGTTTCACATTAACTAGTTGACGAATTTAACTAGTTGATCAACTAGTTGACGAGCATGAATCAACGTTAACGTTAAGTTGAAGAAAAACCTTCAACGACCCATCGCTAATGCGCACACTTTGCCCCATGAAGGACCTGTTTACTTTTTGTAAACGAAACAATGGCGTAGTTAATTTGTCCGTATTTCTAGTATTTAATTTATGTCTGTCTTAGACAATTATTAATATTATGTTAAACATACAATATATTTCAATAAATATATTGAGACGAAACAGTGAGTATATTATAGATAGATACGGTGGTCGGGTGTTTCAATTTTGTTCCGTGTTGCCAGCGTCGGCGGCGCGCGCGGTGAGCGATGGCGGCGCGGTGGGCGGCGCTGGCGCTGGCGTGGTGCGCGTGCGCCGCTGCGCCCGCCGCGCCGCCGCCCCCCGCCACGCCGCGCCCCTGCGACACCCTCCTGCTGCGCTCCCCGCCGCCCATGCCCCAGGTACGTAGCACGCAGTGTTGCCAACTACTAGTTGCCCTAGATAACCCTAAATGCAATTATCAAAAGCCTCAAATTAAATAATATTCATGGCCCCAAACTTTTGCGGTCCCTAAAAAAACCCAACATGAGTATTTCCGCCCTAAATTTGGGGCTAAAAGCCCTAAGTTGGCTAGACTGGTAACACACCAAGCCAAGGCAATTCTTTAAGCAAAGGGGAAACAGCCAGTTCCCGTCACATAAAATTGATATCGAATTCTTGGCAATAGCTTTAGCCTTACCTTGCTATAAAATAACATTGTTTTTTTTTTAAATTATCCCTCTTGTCCTGAAGACCTTGCGTATATCTATTTTCGTAAGTCCCCTTTCGATTTAATCCATCCATGCTGCTGGTATAGTAAAGGACAATGTGTCTTTCAAAATCACCAAAAATATTTTTCTAAATCCTCTATATTTTGACAGAAGCCTTTGCTTTTCCTAATACCACGTAACAGTATTCGCTGTTGCAAGAATGGGCAGATCTGTCCGGGGAAGTTCCACGACCTCACAGAAGACCGACTAGAAGTTAAACTGTTATACTTCTACGTTTCGTCTGGTGACTGAGGTAACCGGGGCTCACTTTAATAAAAAGTGCCAACACAGCCGAGACCTTACCGGACCGGGTGTTGCAAGTGTCCATGAGCGGTGCTTATCCCTTAACATCAGGTGAACCGCCAGCTCGTTTGCCACCTTCTCAGATAAAAAAAAACCAACTGATATGTAACGCCCGTCTTTAAAGTTATTCAGTTAGTTCGGCATTTATTGTAACATACAAAGTATTCGTTGTTTGTTTTGTAGGTAAATAGACGTCTAACTACTAACAATATGATTAACATGTTTTCCCGTCCCCTCCTAGGTGAATTAAGGACAGAAGAAGACTGTCCATAATGTTCACAGTGTGATTGTTATTGATAAGAGCAACGTCTTAGCGTGGTAAAGTGTAAATAATAAGAGCGTGACTTTATATTTGCTTCAAGTCAATACAGGCGACTAAAACTGACAAAAAATGGCCCACTCGCACACCGCACTTGCATCGCATTGCCGACTTTGCAGCACGTGCGGGAGCACGAGGCGACGGCGGCGCAGACGGCGCGCGCTCTATCCGAACTGGTGGAGGCGGGCGCGGCGGACGAGGAGCGGGCGGCGGCGCTGGCACGGGCGGCGGCGCGCGCCCCCCTCCATCCGCCCCCCGCGGCCGTCGCCCTCGGCGCCCCGCAGCTGCACCTCGGCGTGCTCTACCAGACGGAGCCGCCTCGCCTTTACGTTTTTCAGCAGAACAACTCGGCCGCCTTGCAACTCTTTTGGCGCACGCTCGCGTCCGCCTGGAACGCGAGCGCCGTGATCTGGTCGAACGCGTGGTTTTCCTGCGAGAGCGACGGCGGCAGCTGGTGGGGCGGCGCGGCGGCGGCGAGGGGCTCGGGCCCCGCGAGGGCGGCGGCCGCGATCTTCCGCAGGCTGCCGGCGGTGCCCTGCGAGGAGGCGATGCACGAATGGCTAGGGGGCCCGCCGCCCTGCGACCCGGACACAACGGAGTGTCGCGCTGTGCCGGTCTTCGGATCGGCGGACAGACGTTTGGAGGTGGGAAAGAACTTTCACAAACCCACATAATTTTTTTTTATTTTTTTATTTTATGCGAAAAGTTGTCAAACGAGCACACGGTTCACCTGATGTTAAGTGAATACCACCGCTCATGGACATCTGCCACATCCGAGGGTTACAAATGCGTTGACAACCTTTTGAAAATTGGGCTCCGGCTACCTCACTCACCAGACGAAACGCGAAAGTATTTTTCATACTTCCACTTTACGCTGATCTTCTGTGAGGTCGTGGTACTTACCCGGACGGGCCTGCCCATTCATGCAACAGCCGAGGCTGCTGCGTGGCCTTACCACCGTGCCTGTGCCAAAGTGCCTGTCGACTCAAACTCCTCTAGTTTATCCACGCAAGCAGCTTCTGCCGTTGTAGCATTTGGCGGAGTCATCCGGGAATGCTCTACGGACTTGAGGATCGACGTAGATTAGATGTATTCATGCCCTTGCGTTTCATCTGGGCACTTAGGTATTAGGTAGTAATACTAACTATTACAGGCTTAAAACTCAATCCCACGGCAGTCGTAGATGTTCGTAGGCCTAGGTGACTTAGCACTTCTTCTAGAGATATAAATTAACCATCTTGTAACCGTCTTATTTGTCGTGTCAGTACGAGTGCAAGTGCCGCGGCGGCTTCTGGCGCGCGGGGGCCAGCGGGTGGGTGAGGGGCGCGCCGCTGCGGACGGGGCTGCGATGCGCGGAGTGCGCGAACAGCGGCGCCGCATGCCTCGCGGACGCCTACCGCGCCGCCCTGCTGCCCGCTGACCTGGCCGGCGTACTCCTCTGCCTCGTCATAGCCATCGTCATATTCAAAAAGAGGAAGTGCAAAGTAAACATGGTCATCCGTTGAGCATTCCCTTTTTGGGGACAACATAAAATCGATATTTATTTATTTATTATGATACGTTAAAATAAGACTCATTTCGACTAAGTACTCGAAGACTAATAATCTTTTCTATCACCTTCGTTATTTTATTAATACCTTTACACGAAACACAAAACGCAATAAGAAGAACGTCTATTTTTATAACTAGAACGGCATGGTAAGATCCTTCCTTATTGATGTTTCGGTTTAATTTGTGCAATCTTTTCAACAAATGTACGTAAAAATTAAATAAATCATTCATTTTCAGGCAGTAGCGATGGGTATGTGGACAGTGTTAGAAGTAGTGCTTCTCGGAGCCATGCTGATGTACGCTTCTGTGAGTGAAATACAAAATTGTTGTTAATTTTTAAATAGCTCGCGAGTTTTGTTTATCGGAGAAATGTTTCAGAGTTAAGGCGTAACAAGTACCTTGTTATTGCAATATGTCAAAACCTCAGATATGATTTATCAACTTCTGTCAAGACCTAATTCACATGATCTTACTACTTTATTTTTGTCTAAAGTATCAACAAGCACTTGATTATCATTTATTTGTTGTATATTTTTAAAGCCGTAATAGCTCATTGTCCGGGTTTTGGGTTTTTAATTCAATAATAACCTGATACGCGGTGCCGGCGTCAATGATATTGTTAATTTTAAGTGTTAACTTATCACGTGCTTAGTGGTGAAGAAAAAATCGTGAGGAAAGCTGTTAATTTTCGAAATTATTACAAAAAAAAACATTTTGAAGATATATAAAGTCCACCAATCCGCAGGGCGGTCGCGTGGTGGACTATGCTCTAAAACCCTCTATACTGAGGAGGCCTTTGCCCAGCAGTGGGACGTTTATAGGCTGTTACTTTACTTCTTGTTTAGGGTTTACCTTAAAAGGTAAAAAAGGAACCCTCATAAGATCACTCTCTTGTCCGTCTGTCTGTCCGTGGGGCACCGCCGATTTTCTTAGGAAGAGGAGGACCTAGCAAGTTGAATTTTATACCAGATGTTGAGGTCTATAGTCCTCAGGTGTAATAGGTGTATAAAAATCAAGGTCCTGAGTCAACACGATATAAAGATAAGGTCAAATTTAGATTGTCGCGAAAACTTGTAAATACCATTTACCTTAATTTTCAAGCTTGTAAGGCAAAAGAAATGTCTTACAGCACAAATAAAGAAAAATTCCAAAAAATAAAAAAGATAATGTGTCCCCATACATAGGTACATAGTTGACGCCAATTAGCTTTGACAGTCCTCTGAGTTGTATGGGCGCTCATGCAATTTAGAGCACTTGTTATATATAGGTAATGGTACGGAACACGTACACGAGTCCGACTCGCACTTGGCCGGTTTTTTCTGTATCAATAAGATTTCTATTAACGGCTATTATTATATAATTCGGTCATGGGATATTTCAGCTTAGTTTAAACATGCCGTTTAATGTACAATAGTACAAAGAATAAAATTTATAGAAGTACTAGCTGACCCGGCAAAGTTTCTTTTGACATATAAATTATTTGCGGGGTAGAAAAAAATGTTTGAGGTATTAATATTACTTAGGGGTATTAAAATTAGTTATAAACCTATTCTCATAACTACTGAATATACATATAAAATTTCATCAATATCGGTTAAGCCGTTTCGGAGGAGTATAAACACTAAAACTGTGACACAAGCATTTTTTATATTAGATTTTAATAACTTAATTATGAAAGTTAAAATTAAGGTGGCCAATATATCTGACATTTATATCAGAGGTACTTTGATCAGGTCTCGAGCGCAGTCGTAGACGGAGAAAACAATGGACCCAGGAACCATGAAAATATGGAAGTATTTATTAAAGATCAAGGTTCATACAAAACTCTCCCGGTATAGAATGTATCATTAAGGTAAATCAAAAGTAACAATATTTCACATGAGTTATTAAGTAAATGACGCCAGGGTGGTGATGAAAAAGAAAAGAGTTTCAACTAAATAATAAAAAATTAATGAGACACATGCGTTGCGTGGTCAAACGGAATGAACAATTATTTGTCTATGTCATCAAACGTGGTCCAACGGAATGAACAATTAGTTGTTTAACGTCACGTTCCTAGTGCAAGGATAAATAAGTTACAATTCCACAATTATAATATACTAAGAGGAACCCGAGGTAACGCTGATCGAAGACAAAGTGTACGTACACTGACATACTGGCGCTTGTTAACGACAGTAAAAGTTTACCGGTGATCATCTGGTGGATCCTGCATATACAGCCAATTCTAACGTGGACGTATTCATATAAGTGTCATTTTTTTTTAATGGGTGTGATTTTTCTGTGTTTCCAGCCATACTTTCCACTTTTTTAAAAGATGCTAAAGTATCGCAAATGCGGCGGTTATCACTCAACATCTTGGATCGCCAGCTCACTTGCCACCTTTTCACATAAAAAATACATAGCTTAGGATATAGAACAGAGCATTATTTTGATACGATATTAGACGATATAACATGTCTTTCCGTTTGGGGATAGAGTGTACGGATTCTGTGCGCTGGATACACGCGAACATGCTACACAAAATTAACCACGGGAGAAGTATGGTTTTTCGATGTAGTGGTAGTTAAATTTAGTATGACTTAAAATCAAAAGTTCAAATCAATTCTCACGGGAAAATCCGTAAGAATTACACGTTTTGTTCGACTGTAGCCAATGTATGGCTCCCTACAACCTTAAACATAAACTTATAACAATATTAATATATTATATTGATATTTCTAACGATACATTTATATCAATTCATAGATCCTCTACGAATTTAAAAAGAACAACAAATTGTTACTTTTAGTATGGAGTGATTCAAATACGCAACTTAATGGATCCATGGGAATGAGAAATATACCGCGGTAAAAAGTGTCCCATGTCACTCTCCAGCCCCTAAATATCTCCACACACAAAAATATCTTAATATAACATAACTCCACTGCGACGTGAAAGAAGGACCAACAAACACACTTTTGTATTTACAATATGATGAGAGAATGACAATTATTTATTCAATTCGTAATATCTTTTTAATGGAATATCCGATATGAATAATTCAAAAATTAATCTACAGGTATTGAAACAGTCTTGAATACGAAATTATTTGTTTGAATAAAGATTAATACAAAGGTATGGAGAATACGGTATGGTTTCCGTCGACATTTCTATCAACTTTTAAAATGTAAAAAAGTAGTTATAGTTACATAACTACAATCATTTGACATAATATGGTATCGCGAAGTTTTTGCAGATTTTGATACGTTCTACAATATTGTAGAACATTTTTTTTGTGCGTCCATCTTCAATAGCCTCCGCAACGCACACGATAAAAGATATTTTTTAGCAAATTTATATACACCTAGGATTAATTTATTGAAGTTTTAGTGGAGATCCCTAATTTTTTCTACTAATAAATAAGTATAGCCTTTTTGACTTATTCAGGGATGATGTAGCATTCTAACGGTGAAATTATGTTTGAAATAGGTCCAGTAGTTTTTGAGTTTAGTTGTTACAAACATAAAAAAATACAACATTATTCTCAAATAATATTAATATAATAAGTACCTAATATAAAAGTATAGCTAGATATGGCAGCCCAAGTTCTATAACTTTGAGGTTATGTCCTTGATTTCTTTATGATTAATTTTTTAACATTTAAAAATAAATAATCTGTACATTGATCAATATGGGAATTAGTTTGAGGCGATGCCAATCAAATGAATTACGGTGGTAGGGCCACGCAGCACCCTCGGCTGTTGTATGAATGGGCAGGCTCGTCCGGGTAAGTACCACGACCTCACAGAAGACACCTACACAGCGTAAAGTGGAAGTATGACAAATACTTTCGCGTTTCGTCTGGAGAGTGAGGTAGCCGGAGCCCGATTTTCAAAAGGTTGTCAACGCATCTGTAACCCTCGGGTTGGCAGATATCCATGGGCGGCGGTATTCACTTAACATCAGAGGAACCGCCTGCTCGTTTGACAACTCTTCGCATAAAAAAAATTAAATAAATGACCAATACCAACCTGTGAAATTTATCATCACGTTATCCTTGTTCTGTTCTGATTCGAAACATCAAAACACAGCACTGCACCATGATAAAGATTTATAAAACACTTTATATGAAGACCGAACAATATTACAATACTATGTGAATATTATTGCTATATATAAAAAAACTGAATTACGCGAATGTTTGTAATTTTTGTTTGTTGAATGTTGGTTACAACAACAAAGACCATAATTTAATATATATTTCTCTTTCACACATGCCATACAACTATTTCGTTTCGGTGTAAGGGAATGCAACTGTGACTAGTTTGTTTTCTCCGCCTATGAGCACAGTCAGATGCGACCACAATGAATGGGGCATAGGATATTAGGGGGGCATGAGGACACGGTTTTATATGGCACCGTAGAGTCCCCAAACTGATTTTTTTTAATTAATGATTAATTTAATGTTTTATTTCTAGTCTGAAAAATTTTCACCGCTATTTGCGATGTTTGGCGCCATCTAGTGAGCTAGAAATGCAATGAAAACAAAGTAGATAAGACGTCGAGATTTCCGAGCGATGGGGATATCGACAGCTTAACATAGTGGTTAGATCGTCGTGGCGCCTTACCCGGATAGAACCGGTTCGAATCTTGGCAGGCGGAAAAAATTACAATTTATCTATACATTTAAATAATTTGATATTTGATAATTTTTTGTACCATTAGTATAAAAGAAGAAATGAGGAGAAGAAAGTTAATTATGCGAAAGTGCGACAGTGATCTCATTTAATATTTTTATATTTTTAATTTATGTTACTTAACTATGTTTATGTCTTAAACATTTCTTGTTTTGTAAATATAAAAATATATTTTTAAGGCAGCGTCCCAGCTCATATCAGACTCAAGATGGCGTTGTATTGTTGGGGCATGGTTACGAGAGTTGGGCTTCGTAGCTTGCTACGGTTCAGTAGTACTACGACTGTGGGTACTGCTTGCCGAGTTTCGTACGAGGAAAGCCCACCGCTGGACACCACGCGATGCTGAAGTAAGGATTGTGTTCGGAGAAGTATTATTACATCACTCTGAATACATTTGCATACATGCATACATTTAATTAAGATTGCAATAGAAGTATGAAACAAAGAATAGGTATTTATTTTCAAGAGGTAGAAAGTACAAAATATATAGTATGAAAGGTATAGCACCACTAGTACGATTTCATTTATAGTGGAAGTAATTTAATGCAGATTAAGGTTTAGCGATTTTAAATAACTCCAGATAGGAAGGAAAGCAGGTATGAATTAAGTAAAATATATAAACAGTAAAACGCTCATTTATAAAAACTGGTGAATTGGCAATACCTTTTCTATTAATTTACACCCGTTCGACATTTCTGGGTTACCTGTGACTCTTTTCAGTTCTGATAGATCGATATTTAATACGGGTGATGTTTCGCGGTAGGTGCTGCGCGTTGTGGGCGCTATGCTGCTCGGCGCCGCGTGCTACCTGGCCGCGTTCACGGCAACGGCCGCTTGCGAGGCGGGCTGTGCGCACGCCGCCTGGCACCACGTCACCGCCGCGGCAGAGCTCCTCCTGCTGGCCGCCGGGCTGCGGACCGCGCACGCTGCCCGCAACGCCAACGTACCATTCCAGGTATTTCGGACAAAAATCCTTCGCATACATTAAGAAGGGAATGGGCCCGCGTATCGATCCTTGAGGGACACCTGTTCACGCCAAGGAAGCCGCTGAGGAAAATCCATTTGTTGCTACCGTTTCGCTTCTGTATGATGGGTCAGAGAATAATGTCTATACTTCACTAGTATAGAAATTATTATTGTATTATATTTAATACCGATTTAATACTAAAGTTTTTTAAAGTTAATCTTGCATACCCGCATTGGTATGATTAAATTTCATAAATTTATTTTATTAATAGTAAGCGGTTTTTATATTTTATAGGTACTTGTTTAATTTGGTGTTTTTACATTTTTTAATGAAAAAGTGGCACACGAGCTGGCGCTTCACCTGATGTTAAGTGATAACCGCCGCCCATGGACATTTGCAACACTCGTAAGGTTGCAAATGCGTTGCCACCTTTAAATGAAGTGGGCCCGGGCTACCTCACTCACCAGACAAAACGCAGAAGTGTAACACTTCTACTTTACGCTGTTCCTCTGTGAGGTCGTGGTACTTACCCGGACGGACTTGCCCATTCGTGCCTATTACAACCACTCCTTTTATTTACATCACCGTGGTAGAGCATACATATGAATGACCGTTACACGGTGTTATCAGGAGCGCAGCTGGCTGGCGGCGGCGCTGTGGACGGAGGGTCTGAGCGGAATTGTGTGGCGGCTGCTGGCGGTGGTGGGCGTCGCGCCGGAGATCTCTCCGCTGGCCGCCACGGTCCGCGCCCACATCTCTGCGGGCGCAGCCCTCGCCTGCGTGCTCGCACCGCGCCTCTGGCACGGATATCGCACGCGCTCTCTAGCCCTAGAGGTGCACTGGGCTGCCCTTCCTTAGATCTAACTTTTATAATAAAACCGATGACATCCACAAAAAACTGAATGTGTAGAGAACTTTACAATATTTTGTGTATGCTACCCTAATGGTCCTATCCTACCCTATCATAATATCGAAGAATACGTAGAGGATGTGTGGAATTAACTCTTGCTCTGCATTTACAAGTCTTCTGGGTGCTGATTTTATACCTAAATAATGTTGAATACTACTACTAACACTATATACAACCAACAAAAAAAAGATGACAAGAGCGTAGAGTTTCTTCACTCTGTACTGATCTTTTGCTGGTTAGATTGGCCTAAAATTTTTGTTGACCTTATTTACCCCCAAGTGACAAATGATAGCTGATAATACTATATTGAATAAAGGGATTTTGACTTTGAATTCCGTTCCGTTTAAATCTACAACAACGTATAAATAAACAAATAATAAAAAAATAAAAAAAATGTAGTCGACCAGCTTTTACCCGAAACCATTTTAACAGACACAAAAAATTTCCTAAAATTAAAATACGAGTTTAGTTACACGAGCTACACACGCGCATAAAAGAACTATATAAATAAAGACTGATACGATAGCGCGGCATCAAATTTTGGAGAAATTTCTCGTAATGCCATGTCACCATTGTTTATAAAAAGAAAGGCACGACTTAAAAACATAGGCTAGCTAGCTGCTGCCCGCGACTACGTCTGCGTAGAATAGGCTGAAGGCTAACATTCAAACAGAAAGACTACTGATACTAAGACATACATAAAATATGTATATAAATTAAAGCCTATATCTTATTCTGATGTATTAGCTATATTATAGTAAAGTTAAATTAAAATCAATTCAGTAGTATTTGCGTGAACGAGTAACAAACATCCATCCATACATACAAACTTTATAATATTAGTAAGGATATATATGGCTTCATGCAAGTGTCCGCTCGGATATTACCTGATGTGTACGGCTGACTCAGTCACCGCCGTTTCACACAGTGGTAGAGCCACGCAGTGGCTTTTGTATGAATGGGCGGACTGAACCGGAGAGGAAGACTTACAAAAGATCACTGTGGGGTGGAGGTATTTATACGTTTGCGTATCGTTCGGTGAGCGGAATAACATCACAAATGAATATTCGCAACACTAAATGTTGCCAAAAATGTTAAACCAATTTCCAGGTGTCTCGTAGAGGGCCAGCCGAGGGCTTCGGGGTCGAGGGAGAAGAGGAGCCGACTTCGGAAGAAGTTCGTGCGGAACTGAAGCGTCTCTACGTGCAGCTGGAGATCCTCCGTAACAAGACTCTCCGGCGTGACAACCCGCACATTAGCAAGCGGCGAGGTGGCAGGAAACCGCCTCACAGACGATTCTCTCTCCAAGTACGTGTCACAGTAACATAACGACATCCAAATTCACAGTTCGGAATCGCCAACATTTAAACAAAGCTCACGAGAAACGTACGCTTGTGAATAGCAATCAATGTGGTGCTTATCTTTAATTAACTTAAGTGACACGTTGTTGTTTAATATGAAAATGACAAAATTTTTTCAGTTTGCACCGTGAATCAATTTAATACAAAGGGAGACAATGGACAAAAACCTGGTTAAAAATTAACTTGAAATTTGTTTTGTTAAGTTTGGGGTCGCTGACGCCATTTTTAACTACGCAATAGTGTTACATTTATAATCGATGTAATTGTAACTAATCAAACTTGTTCGTAAATACTCTTGGAGTGCCACACCTTTAAATATTTTATGTCGTAATATATTAGAAAGGCATTTACGTTATAAAAAATTGGAACTCTTTAATCACTGTTTGTGTTAGTGACCTATTAATAATTCCAATACTATATGTTCAAATAACTAACCTTCCCTCAATCCAACATCTTTGAATTCGATAATATCTTTATACACCTTTCTTTTTAATAATTCAGCCCTTAATTATTGATAACTGGCCGTAGGTTATGTATCTTAAAAACCCTTATGTGTCGGTGTACAATGTTCTTTCATTAATTTAATGTTTCATATTCCATCCTCCTCCGACTTTAGAAAAAAGGCAGCCGCGAAAAGGTAAGGAAGGAGTACAATGTACCGCATGCGAAAAGATGTGGTCCCGCATGCCCCTGTGGCAGTCCCGCCTGCAGAAACACTGACTTGCACAGTAATATCCCGTCTCACTTCCGCCTGTATGCTGTGTACGCTTTATCTGTCCTCCGATTGATTAACGAAAAAATTTTTAAGTGTATTTTTTGATTACGATATCTTTTTTTTTGTTCGTCGTACCTGGATGCTACTATGGCTCTCCTTTATGTTTTCTTTTTATACAGCTGAAATTTCGTTCATAAAAATTGCTTACGAACTTTTATTTTTAATATGTCTAAATATGTATTTTTTCCTTCTAAAACTAAATGAACGGAAAATACAAATCAGAATCTAAATACATTCTGATTGAGTGGTCAGTACAGAAGCCTTATCACGTACGTCACATCAAGAATAAATTCTTAACATAAAAATGTATGTGCTAAACGCAAAAAAGTTGTTTATGGTACAAAAAAAGAACTTATTCGTATAAAGAATCAGCGTCAGAACTTACTTTATAAGTATATAATGTAATTCTTAAGATGCCTCTCTCATGTGAATTTCTTATATTTCTTTTATAGGCTTTGCAAGCGCGTCGAGGGGCCAAAAATAAAACTGGCGGTAGTGCCAGTATGGCAGAGGCTAGTGAAGCAGGAGATGCTTCTAGAACACCTGAGGACTCGGTCTGTTCCGCTGAAGGTCCTTCGCATTACACAGATGGAGAACAGGCGTGATTGACTTCACTTTTTACTACACCGGATATAATGCATAATCGCTAAATGCGTTACTTGTTAACGAATATAAGACTAGACTAAGAACTGTTTTACACTTGTGGAAATTATTACAGTGTTTCTCTACTCATCTCAGTCCAATTCAGTTTATCTCATCTCATGTCATCATCAACTCAGTTAATTTTTGGAAAGTTAAATTACAGGAGCATAGTTTTTTATTCCTGTTTTTGATCAAATTATAAAGTATCATAAAGGAAAAATTTTAAAAGAAACATAATTTCGTAATTTTGCATTTGTCGAACGAAATCGACATTTTTTTGTGTATTACTTACATACGTACCAAACACACAGCTAGTTTTTGATAAAAGTTTTATAAATTGTTTTTGTTACCATAAAATTCTTATGGACGAAGTATTTGATTCTAATTATAAAAAAATAAAAAAATATTCAAAAAAAAGGCCATTATCATTTATTTGTTAATTATCATTTAATGTTCATTGTGACCTTCCTTCTTTGATATGACGTTTTATCTCTTTTTATAAATGTTCTAAGTGTTTCACATTTTCTGTATGATGTTGTCAACGTAGATATTTCTCCAGCTTCGTATTATATTACATTTATATTATGAAACGATTGAAAAGAAGGCATAAAAGACATGTATGAAATTCAAAATTAAAACAAAGTTATATAAAATTCCCAAAAGGCATAATAATAACTTTTATGTTAAGTACACATAATCCAAATTTGCATGTAATTAAAGAAAAAGTAACACCAAACTCAAAGAGAAGAACAACTCATAAGATAATAAAAAGTAACATGGTCTTTGATATATGTATTTTTGAAAGTTTTCTCTTATAAAAAAAAGATGGCTGTAAAATAAAGATGTAAAAGACGATAATAATTCTTGTTGCAAAAGTTTCAAGGGCTCATGCGCTGGAATCGCTAGCCCAATATTATTCTCCAAAAGATGGTACACAGGTGTACATACATATTTCAAAGGATTTGTCGTATCGTTGTTTGTTAATAATATTGAATTGCTGTCTAATACATATGTATTACATAGCAAATACTACGTAAGTATGTTCGTAGTTCTTAATAACTCAATGGATACTACTAAAGTAAGAAATTTACGTTGTTAGAAAGTCATAAATTATAACTGCCTCCTGAGAATGTATAACATTTTCATAATTCTTCATTTCCCTTTATATGACGATTTAATGAATGATAATGAATCCCTTATCGAGTCAAACTATACTTTATAACGTAACACTTTCTTCAAATTGTACGCTTTAATTTATTCATTTCATTAAAACCTATCTAAGGGCATATATTTAAATATATGATCAAATTATAAAAGATTATTGTGTAATAAAATGATCGATTAGACCGATCTACATTATGTGTCACTGTAATTAAAAGTACTTAATTTTTCAATTTTACTTCCACTTGGCGAAAATGTTTTGCAATGTAGTGATAGTGCCATCGTTTATTTTCGTGATTTATTAACTAGTCGTGTTTCATTTTTCATTGTATTGTACCTACTTTCATTTTTCTATATGAGACCCGTACGAGTACATAATCATTGATGTTTTAGCTGTATGTAACTGTTATTCTTCCATTTAATAATATTTCTGATCATACCAAATATCTATTCATACCAAATCTATATCGGATAATGGTGTTGTAAGTAAGTGTAGTTTTATTTGTACGAGATTGTATTATGTTGAGCTTTATTCAGTGTTGGTAAGGCGTTATTACGCCATAAGTATGTTATTTAGTGTAATTGTCACATTTATATTATGAATAAAAATAATATACATACTGAAAATTGTTTCATTTTCTTCTAATATTTATATAAAGTTCTTGCTATCATATTAGAAAATGAATGAGAAAATCAAGAATATTTTAGTGTACTTCACGTACACTCCTACACGTGCGCCGGCCACGAGATGTCGCGCCAATGCGCGTACGTCTTTACACCTTTTGTCATTTGCACTTTGTCAAATTTTTCCATTTTATTTTTTTCTTCCTCTTCGAGTTCCTCCACTGAATTGACCATCTAGCGCGCTTCAGGTCCCGTTAATAGTCCGAATAGCTTCGATCGTCTTTGCGCTTAAAAGATTCTAGAAATTATTGGAAATTCATTCGTCTTTTTAATAGAAATTTCTGGAATCAGTGACCGAATAACGATCGTCTCTTTAATACAAATCTCCGGAATAAGTACCTTCTTTCACTATAAACTAAGAATTTAAAATTATATCAAGAACGTCATCCGAAATTGTCATAGCAGGTCTTTGAAATCTAAGACATCAACGCCCCTGCTTGTGACAGTATGTATAAATTAAAACCAATGATATTATTACCTACAAATACGAAGTAGATATGACATTAGCACACCGAAATTGAGGCACTCAAATTACGCCAATTGGTGTAATTACATTGCAATTCCATAGACTGCTGTCTCAATCACATTCACTCATATAATGTAAAGCAGAACAATTTTTAAACGCCGCGAAGTATGGACTAAATGGCCCATCATTTGATCAAACCTACTTTTTTTGAAGAATAAAGTTTTTTAGTCTTAATTACCTTTCATTTAAACAAATTTGACAATATATGTCTATTTTTCCTCAAGAGTGGCAAAATAAAATGGTGTTAGGTAAAGATAAATTTGAAGTTACAGCGTTCTGACAAAAAACACCTTTGATAAATAATGACTTCACAGTTTGTGTAAGTGTCCCTATAGTACAATTGTGTAAATTTTATTGCCTTGTTATTTCTAATTCATCTGTTGAATAGTTTATAACCATTTTATTGGTAAATAATTGGAGACATGAACTTTTTTGATATTTTATTCATACACAAACTTATCGGTAAAAGCTCTTAACTAAAAGTTACAAATTGTGTAAAATTAAAAATCCATCCCTAACGCGTCGGTAAATAACGCTAGTGTGATTGTGCACGCGCTATTATATCGACTGTTGCCAAGCAACTTACATCTGTTTTGTTTCCTATTAAGATAAAATTATTATTATATTGTCACAAAACACAAAATGTCGCAAAGGCGCGTTACATGGCAACGAAGAAAGTGTTATATCTGCATAATAAAACAAAGGACTACCGAAAGACTGAAAGAGGCCAAATAAAATAATTCTGCAGCTGTACTACAGAGCATAACGAATAATTCTCTAACCTTAAAATGAATCTGTGTTCAATTTTTTAAGTTTTCTCGCAAATCATAAAGTTTTTTTTAAATATTTTATTAAAATTATGATTTGAAAAGTGGCAATGTCAGGTAAGAACTAATTCGTATTACGTATATCCATTTATTCCTTTCATAATTTAAATATTGGTCACTAATAAAATAATAAATAGAATTATATTTCTAATATATATATTTTTTATTTTTAATGAATGGTGCGTTAATAATTAGCGCCACTCAATGTTATAGTGCCATGATAGTCAAGGCATATAAAGATATAAAGTTGCTGATTGGATTCAATGCCAATTCTTTGATGAACTTTGTCGTTATAACCATTGACATTATATATAAATACGAGGTAGATATGCCACCATCGCACCGAAACTGAGCACTCAAATTACAAACAAGTGGTGTTATCAGTATATAAGTAAAACATACGTTCTATATCATCTGCCACAATAACTTATATTTATATGTCATATGAAGTAAAGCGGAACAATTTTTAAACGACGGGTATTGGTAATAACATCATATAATTTTAGTATTAATTTGTTTGCTATTATGTTTTAACACTGAAGGTTTGTGCAGAAATCACTTGTTTTTAGCCAACACAACCTTTGCGTGTAAGCTTAGCAATATATCGATAAGATAAAACATCGTTGTGCTTGTGACGTTCAAGGTGGTTAACCTTATACCATTATAACATTAAATAAAGCAAGCTTCGTAATTTTCATTTGACCAATATATTATGTTTACCCTCGAAAGCACCTAAAACACTTAATTTTATTTTTTTTTCTTCAAATATTGCTTCAGGTTATTTTCAGTTCAGCAGGTAGTTCACATTAATAACAAAGTTTTTTTTGATTAACAATTTGAGCATCTAATTTTAGATTTTGGCATCTAATTGGCGCCCAATTTTGAACATTTTAAATCCAGAAATTGAACACTGCTCTGCTAGCGTGACGGAAATAGCTTCGCAACAGTGATCAGATTATGCTTTGATTGAATGCAATAGGTTGCAGTCCACGATTATATTAAATTTAAATAATTAGGATGATATTATTATTATATTGGAATTGGCATTCCAGTTGAGGAGTTAAATCAAAATCAGTTATCACGATAATCAAGCATATGGTCTTCATTATTTTTTATATTTTTTTACTATTGTTTAAAATACTTCTTATAAATTACTATTTTATTAAAATATGTAGAAAAAGTACGAAAAGATTGTCAAGCAATGCATTGCTTCAAATGCTAAGAAAACAATGTGGAAGAATGCGTTAAGGTTTTCGTCGGTGTGGTAATCAGCCGTTTAGCTCAGTGGCTAGAGCGTCAGGCCGCGAATGCCGAAGACGTGGGTTCGATTCCCACAGCGGCGACAATCTTTTCGTACTTTTTCTACATATTTTAATGTTCAATCTTAAGTGCAAAGATTATCACTATAACCAATTTAAAATTACTATTTTAAATTAAAATATTATTGAATGCCAGTTGTATGAGGTTTTTAAATTTGAATTTGAAAAGTTAATAATTATTATTGGATATTTCATTTTTAAATTGTAAAATTGAAAATGGCATACCCTGTTTACCTATATTATTTCTATAATATGACATAACGTATGATGATAATTTCTTTTATTTCAGTGACTCCTATACATTGAATTATATACGACATATTTTAGACGAACGACTTTTTTTTGTATACTTACATAAGGCGATTAAACATTAGCACTTTATATTTGGTGATATTTTTGCGAAACACATTACGGTATTCACTTTTAAAAGTCATTAGTAAAATGATTTAATAGCTTTCTATCCAGGGCGCGTTGAGTACAACATTTACTTCCGGTTTCGTGATAGCTGACGGACGCAATCTACGCACTCGGATATTGTCGAGCCGTCTGTTTTATACGCGTGGGTAAGGATCACGCGAATTGCCCCATTCAGTTCTAGTGTAGACACAATATGGCAAATGTAAAATTACAATGCTAAAATTCCTATTAAACTTATATAATGTATTATATGTAGGAATAAATAATCCTGTGTTGTAAAGTCATAAAATTTAACAAAAACCTAGATCCGCAGTAATTGTCTGTAGATCACACAAAAACGTCTTGACTTGTATGAAACGCGCCACAATGATATTTTATTTCATTTACGCTAATAGTACCTACATTTAACAACTATATTTCAACTTCCGATGTTTGGGAAACTTTCTAAAACTCATATTCAAAAGAAAAATGCGTTAGAATCATGAACAAGAGTAGTCTATGTAAAAATAAATTGATTTTACATATGGAATACCCAAATTGGTTAAACGAAAACGAACATATGACGCCCGCAAATGGACTGAGAACATCCGCATGTAAATTGAAATATTTAAATTTACATACAACTGCGATCCGATAGGAAACGGAACGTGAACCAATTTCCGTTATCGTATGCGCTTTGTTTCACAACGGATTTGTTTGTTGAAATTGATTTCAAACTGTCTAGCATTAAATAAACCTCAGATCAACAATTATGATTCGTACACGATTGGGTATAGGCTGATTGATCGATCACATTGAAACGCCCGAATTCAATATTAAACGTTAATTATTTATCTCAACATATAAAAACACGTATTGTTTTTGCCTTAGTAAGTATAAAAGTATAAAAATGAACTAAAATCTGGATTTACTGATTTTCTGCGCGTGGCAAGTCGATTTTTCTATTTTTTATAAGTGAGGGAAATAATTTCGCATACCCGTCCTCGCGGGGGTTTGGACGGATTTTGTCCGACTCGCACATGACTAAAATCCCTGCGATGTTCCACCTGGGCCAAATAACTGTAGGGCCACACTGCAGGGAACCAGGGGGTAGTAAAAGCGAACGCTTTTGCTACCCCGTGGTTCTGCCGATACACACACTTCCATGACCCTGCCAGCGCTGGCCGCCACAGCAACCACTCCTCGAGGAACAATTCATATATCGAGGAGCAATTTACCTCTTCTCCAGATAAGGTACGCAGGAAAAAAGACCGCGCTTAAGTTTTTTTTCCATTCAGCAAAGACATTGACAATGGTCATCCATCGATCCAGATGATATTTCATTATTGTGTATAAAAACAATTGTCATGGTTAATTCCGCTAAAACGATGATGAAAAAGATATAAACATATTTTGTTAAAACAGAGTTAAACTCTTACAGCGTTCAATTGACTCAGAATAAAATATACGGATGGCGTGTTGGGTAAACGATTTTCCGTAGCTAACTCTAGTGCTAAGTGCACTAGTCTAGCGGCCAATCTATTACATATACCTATGTTTATGTAAGCCTGAGCGTTACGTCTCTCTCTTGTTCAGTATCAACGATGGAAGCCTTAGTCGAGGACCTCGATCACACGACCATTTACAGGCAGAATCAGAATTGTACATTTAATATCAATATCATGTTCATATAATCTTTATATATATATATAATTCTTCTGTACGTTCTGTACATTCTTCTTGGACCGATTTTAATGAATTTTTTTGTGTTTTTCGGTCGATTCAAGAATGGTTTAGATTCACATTACGTTTTTTTTTATTTATAATTTGTTGTCGGATTTGAGTCGCGTGTACAGGACAACGTTTGTTGGGTATAGTTAATGTAAAAACATGAGTTTTTGTCCTTGGATGAAATACGCCTTTACATATTTTACCCCTCTAAATTATTTTTTTCACAAATCGTCAATTTATACACTTCATTCATTCGAGGAAATGCTTCTGGAAGTTTCTTTTCAATTATTTCCAAGCAGACAGCGAAGAGAGTGACGGGGAAGGTGGCTTGGGGAACCTGAACAGGTTAATAGTGCGGCCCCCGGGGCACAGCGGTAAGGCGAAGCGGGGCCATTTGTGCTTCGACGCCGCCTTCGAGTGCGGCAACCTGGGCCGGGCGGACCACGTCACGGAGCTGGAGTACGACCTGTACCTGCGCCCCGACACCTGCCGCCCCAGGGCCAGGTTCTGGTTCAACTTCACCGTGGAGAACGTCAAGCAAGACCAGGTGAACCAAGTGACTTTCAGTTTTTTTTTATAACTTATTTTCTTTTTTATTCTACTTTTTTTTATTAGCGTGTGTGAAGATCGTGCAGGCACTTCGCCTTTTTTTTCTTTTTTTTTTTTTGGTATCGGGGGGGAAATCTTCCAAAGATACCCTGTCACATTACATGACAGGGTTATGTGAGGTTCTTACCCACTAAAACCCCCTCGGTGACCCTCTGGACGTTGAGAGGGACTCCGGGATCTCCCACGGAACACACCGGTGTCCCTCAGTATTGCGCGTGAGCACTCCCCGGAGAAGGATAGCTTCCCCGGTTCCCTCGCCATCTTGCAGCAGCTCGAGACCACTTCGAGCTGCTGCCAATCCGTGTCCCCTTTTAGTCGCCTTTTACGACAGGCAGGGAATACCTAAGCCCTATTCTATAAGCCCGTGACTACAGGGCTGACGGGGCGGCGCGTCCGTTTCTGTCGCCCTGGCGCCTTCGTCTTCGAGCGGGATCAGCCCTCTCCCGTTCTCGTTCAGCGATCTCCTTCTGGAGCATAACAGCTTCGCAGAAGGAGACTAGTGCCGTCCAAGTAGATTTCTCCACCAGTGCAGCTGACACTGCCACTTGTGGAGAAAGGTCTTGCCCGATCTTTTGGACCAGGATCCGACGCTCTGACTCCCACGCGGGGCACTCATCAAGTGTGTGCTGCGCGGAGTCCCGATCCCCACCACAATGGTGGCATTGCGTTGTCGGTTCGCGTCCGATTCTATTTAAGTACTCACCAAAGCATCCGTGCCCGGTGAGTACCTGTGTCAACCGAAAGGTGGCAGGCACTTCGCCTGATGTCAAGTAAATTATCTTACATGGATATCAAACTGTAGTAGCGTTGCCAACCTTTAAGAGAACGAGCTCTTGTTACCTCACTCAACAGACGAAACATAAAACTGTACTTACGTAAATTAATTCTATTTTACTCCAGTCTTCTAGGCAGTATTTATTGCTCCTTCCCATTTTGGAGAACGTGCAACAGCAATAGTTGCTGTGTGACTGTAATGTAGTTATTATGATATATTAGCAACATTTCATAATGTATCTATATGTATAAGAGATTTCCACCGATAATTGACGCATCGCGATATTTCTGGAACCATAAGGCGTAGAGACTTGAAATTTGGTAGGAATATTCCTTTCGCCGAGTAGAGGTCAGCTAAGAACGGATTTTACGAAATTCCACAAAATAACGTTTGCCGAATCAGCTAGTTAAGTCATATGCATAACATCTCTTGTATTACTTCGTACTAGACATAAAATAGGTATTTTACGCTTATTTAGTTCTAAGCATGCAATAATGTATCAAATTATTTTCAACCAATTAACAATAATTCTTGCATATTTCATTTTCAGAAAGTCATATTCAATATAGTTAATTTCGGTAAAGAGTATACACTCTATGATAAAGACATGACGCCATTGGTGAGATCGACATCGCGCCAGAAATGGTAAGGTTACTTGCTGTCGCCTACATTTCACTGACTCATGTAGGTGCACATAACTGTACATTGTCGTGAGAGTTAACATATATTACTATAGGTATTTCATAAGTTTGGATTAGGAAAAATTTGAGACTTTTTTTAAATATTGTGTATATACTGATATGATCAGAATTCGATTTCAGGGGAATATCGAAATGCCACTTATAAATTATTTTACATAAATAAATCGTAAGAAAGAAAATTATAACATATCAATTTATGGACTTTAATGAGTGCTTTTATAAATTTTTTTTTTTAGGCAGCGAATCCCAAAACGACTGCTTTTCTACCACAAATCTCTAGTCCATCGTGGGCGCAAGATACTCAGCCTTGCTTTTGGTTTCGATCGGGAGGAAGATGTGTACCAATTTGCCGCGGCAGCGCCATATTCTTACTCCAGGCTGCAGAAATATTTAGCAATTTGGGAGAAGAGAGCTCAGGGTTTCGGCACCAGAGAGACTATTGCGCAAACTACTGTAATAATTTTGCTCATTTCTATTCAGTTTGAACATTCTTAAACTATTTTCCTTTTATATTCAGTAAAAAAGTAAGCTGGTCAAAGGCCTTCTCTGTACAGAAGGTGTTAAGGCATATTATTTATATTTTAAATATTTTTTTTATTTTGTAAAAAATCACAGGTTTCCTCATGATTTTCCTACACCGATGACCACGTTATAATTCAGCACTTGAACAATTAATAATTTCAGTACCTGGAGGACCGAGCCTTGCTCGTTTTTTTTTGGTAAATCATATTTTAGAAATAAAAAAAAATAAAAAATGAAGAAAGCAATCATGTGGTATAGAAAAAAAGTTAAAAAAATAAGTGTGTCAATGATCGTGATACGACCCGCGGCCCTCTGTTTTGGGGCCGCCCGATTACCGACCGGGCTATTATAACATTTTTTTTGCGGCGAAATTTACCGTCATATTCGAATGATATTTTTCATTCCCTGAAAACAAAAAAGGACATTTTCTAAAAATGAAACCTAGCTAGATTGATTTTTCGCCCCCGAATCTACGCACATACTAAATTTCATAAAAATCGCTGGAGCCGTTTCCGAGATTCCGATTATATAATTATACAAGAATTGCTCGTTTAAAGGATAAGAATTAATGCCAGTAACCGAATTGAAAGCTAGTGCCCGGACACTGAGCTATCACAACCCGGGATCAGATTATACATAATTATAACTATAAATAATTATCCACATTATAAAATTGGCTGTCATATTTTAAATAATCTAATAATAATCCCGAAAATTTCAGCAAAAACGACAAGTCGATCTCATCACAATCGGCGATATAAATGCGAAGGATAGTGATGACAAAGAAGAAATTTTAGCTAAAGGCAAATGCAGTGAAACGAAAAAGCGAGTGGTTATTATAATTGCGCGATCTCATGGCGGGGAACCGCCAGCTTCATATATTTGTCAAGGTATTTCATAAAGACACCAGTTGTTATTATTTATAAAAACAACATTTGCGAGTTGTCTTATTTAGTTGGTTTATTTATTTTATTGCAGGGTTGCTGGACTATTTTGTTAGTTCTGCAGAGAACGCGTGTGCACTAAGGGATCATATAGTAATACAAGTACCTAATCAATTAATCTTTTACTATGTATTCTTATTGAATTAGATACCGATTAATTGTAGGCAGCAATATTATATGTTGTAAAAGGATCGAACTCAGGTTGCTCGAGTATATTGAATGAAGGCGAGCGCACGGACATAAAGCTATCACGGCTCTAGCTTCGAGTATAAATGAAAATATAACTACAATCATGTAGGTATATCAATGGGCCCTTGTAGGTGGTGCCGATGCTGAACCCGGACGGCGTGTTCCTTGGAAACCAGCGCTCGGACCTGCTGGGATCGGATCTCAACCGCTGCTGGATCCGTGCCACCGGCTTCGCGCACCCATCGCTCGTCGCCCTTAAGGAGCACATCAGGAAAATCTCCGCTGAAAAAGTCCGCTTCATGTCGAAAAAACTCCCGTTTTATATTAATAGTTCCCGTAGTATTAAAAAAAAACTCGCGTTCATTTAGATCACTATATTCTCAAGGTTAGGCATATCCCGAATGTACTATGATAGTGTAGCCAGAGGCGGATTTGCCCTAAGACCCAGTAGGCCCGATCTTAGGGCGGACAGATTTTAGGGGCGGTTAATCGTGACCAAAAACTCAATGACGATCACAATAAAAACTAAACCAAAACAACTCAAAGTACCTAAATATTCTAAAGGCTCGCTTAAATTACGGCGGGCCCCACTTCACCACATCGCTTAACGATAATCTTCCTAAATCATGACCTGGGGCCTACGGCGGCTAAGACTGAAAATTCGCCACTGAGTTCTACGGCTCGGGAATTCTCTTATAAAATCTGGCATTTATTTTAGGTTTTCTCATAAATTTTTCACGTTTCCCCGCGACATTTTCATTTACCGACGTTGACTTAGTACTTTAGCCACAAAATTCAAATATAAAACTCAATTTCATCATTGAAACGATGCTTTGTCGATTATTTGAGGTGGATAAGACAAATTGTTTAAACATATAACTTATCTGTGGAGTAACTACTTATTCGATAGTGTTAAAAATGACTCATAAATTATTTTGTTTTATTTTAAGAGGCTACAGTTGGATTTTATAATCGACATTCACGCCGACATAAGCCATGAGGGTGTGTTTGTACGGGGAAACTCTTACGACGATGTATACAGGTAAAGAACCACCTGTATTTTTATTTCTTTAATTTTTTAAGATATTGTTACGATGATTAACCGTTTCGTAGATATAATGCTTTTCGGTATTAGTACATTTCTTTATCATTTACATTAAGAACAACTTGATAGCCGGATATTTAAGAAGTTTACTCAACAACTGCCTATACTGCCAACTGATAATAATTTAGTGTACGAGTTCAGAAAGATATATCACTAAATATTCTTTAAATAAGTTAAATTATCCAAAAAAAAGTTTGACTTGTTTAATTTATAATATGAACCAAATACTCATTGAGTCGAATTTTGTCTGGTGAATAATGGTAATGTATAAAATGTGTCAAAATGTTACAGGTAGTGTACTATCACCACCTTGCGCATTTTGAATAGAAGATCCACGAAGCCATGATAGCTTTAGCTGCCTTATAATGATAACGAAGCTTATACTTATCAAATTCTCGAGGAAAGTCAATTATATTATAAAATTAGTACGAAAATGGTTCATAGGAAAAAAAATAATTTAATTAAAATACATTGAGATTCTCGTCGGTGTGGCCATCAGCCTTAGTGGTTAAAGCGTCTGGGCGCGAATACGGGTTCGATTGCCTAAAAAAACTTTGTACAAATTTAATGTTTCGCAAAAATTTCAATTACATTTTGAACAAAGATTTACGTCGCAAGGTTCGAGCGGCACGCGGTGCTACCGAAATTCCTCGCGATGCGCGTGGAGGCTTGGCAGGGAGAAAACTGCTTGTACAATGCTGAGGCGAGCTTAGCGGGGTCCGCACGCCGCGCACTGCCAACGGGTGCTGTCGACGCCTACACCTTGACCGTCTCTATGGGCGGCAGACGAATCCACCCCAACGGCCCCTACATTCACTACACCGAAGATGCCTGTATCCTTTAAAATTCCACAGGAAAACGGCGAATAAATGCATTTCAACTTTTCATATCGCTTGTTTGGCTCTACCGATGTGCAAAGCTAACAAAATGTATTAGACCACGGTTAAATCACAAAGCAATTTTTTATCAGTATAGCTGTTCTGTGTTACCTTGATATTTTTGTATATAAGTTCGTATTAGAAAAACTAGAAAACTTGTCTAAAACTACAAATGAATCGATGCGTCAACGAAGCAGTCAAGAAAAGAGCCTATTAACTAATGAAAGCCTGTCAACGAGTATGCAATCCTGATGTTGCGATCATAAAGTGTCTTTTACTATCTGAGGTTACGCTTTTAATAAGGATATTATGTAAACTTTAATCTAATACGTAACTCATAGAAAATCTAGTTTCCATCCACGAGGAACGGACTCTACGACTCTACGACATCCACGACGATTGAACTCTAAGCTAATAGTTACATATATGTCTTTGCACTGACTGTATTAATCACTGGCTGGGAGCGGTGACAACCCCGGAAAGTAGTGAACGATGAGTGTGTAGTGTTGGTTAATCGTAGTGCGGGCTGGACCCCCCAGTGGGTCTGAGAGATGTTGAGATTATTCATGGGACATTTAACAAGACTTAACTTTTTTTTACTTGCTTCTTGCCAAACTTCAGGGTCCCATGTTAGTAGGAAGTATCTCTAGGTTCTAATGAATGAGTAAAAATACGACATGAAGGGTTCTCTATCTTTTGGTCGTATCAACGATAGGTATTTAAATATGTCCACTGGCATTTAGTAGATTTTAGTAGGTACTGGATACCTCTTGGCTATGAAAATACGTCTTAAAACAGACAAAATGAAATAAGACCACTGAAAAACACAAACTGAGTTACAGAACTGAGAAACGACACAAAGTAATTGCCATGAGACGTAAACAGATGCGAAAGTAGGCAGAGCGCTAGTGAAGGCCTTGTGCGATTATTATCGGCACGTCGGCGTCGTTCCGGTGCGGATATGCGCGCCCGGCAAGAAGGAGGCGCGTGGGCGGCGCAGGCGCAGGCGGGCGGCCTACGAGCGTGAAAGGTCAGTGGCCGCGATACTCATAGACAACACCCGGAAATAAAACCAGTAGGCCACCAAAAATCACGTATTCATTCATTTATTTCTTTTTTATAAGCGAATCACAAAAATTTCCTGTATGCAGTGAACGCAATTGTAGATGCACAGGTGTAGAAAATGACCATGGGCGGCGTTTATCAGTTAACATCAGGTCAAGCGCCAGATCGTTTGCCAGCTTTTACATAAAGAAAAGGTTGCGAAGTTGACTGAATATTATTATTCTTCAACAAAATAAGATACTTTTTATTGATAAATACTAAGACAACATATCATTATTCTTACTTGAATAAAAATCTTGTTCTGATGACACGTTACGTTTTATTTTCAAAGTCCCCAATTTGAGCTTTTTGCATAGTATTGTGAACGTAATCTATTTTGTGATAAATGTTACTATTCTTATGAAATAATAAAATTTGAATTAATCAAAGCTATTTCATATTAAATCGCCGTCTGCTCGCAGCCTTGTCATATAAGATGTTTGCACTTTCAGCCCGTACACTATACAAAGCTCAAACGGCACAGAGCTCTTGCCTTGGTAGGCATGGCAAGTTTCCACGAAACGTCGATTAGACTCGTGCAACTATCGTAATCTTTGTTTCACCGTGTGTCACTCGCAGCGAGGAACGGCTTTGCGGTTTCAGGGGCCCACGTCTGCACCCGGAGTTGCAAGACCTCTGTGTATTTGTATCTTGTTTGGAAGAGCTTTGGTAGTATGTCCCTACGACGGCTGCGACGTAGAAAGACCTATTGAAGTCTACTGTTCTAAAACATTGCCCGCTTACAGTACGATGACATTATCCTATTGCGTATACACTTCACGTGGGCAAACACCCAGATCCGAAACAACTATCTGTGGGTCGCATAAATGGTTTTCTAGTGTGGGAATCGAACCCACGACTACCGGCGCCAAAAGCAATACCTTTGATGACTCCGTGGCGCAGTTGCCAAGGTATTGGCTTCGGCGTCGGGGGTCGTGGGTTCGATCCCCACACGGGACAACTATTTGTGTGACCCACAGATAGTTTTATCTGGTGTTTGTCAGCGTGAAATTTACGTTTGTAAAACGTAATTACAACACAAGACGATGTTATCCTAAAGTAAGGGCAATGTTTTTTTTTTCAATTAATAAAAACTGCGCCACACAATCGTCTAATGCCCAGTTCCTATATTCAACGAACGGCCGTTAGTTACATAGCTTCTTGACTTTCACAACGACTTGTAGATAAAAGGCGTGTACGCCCGGTTCCTATACTAACAAAACGAGGCGTTTTCCTTACGAGCCGTTGCATTGCTTACGGAAAGTGAGTTACTAGAGTAAAGGTAGTAAAGTAAAGTAACAGCCAATACATGTTCCACTGCTGGGCAAAGGCCTCTATACAGAGGCGTAGTATCGGCATAGTCCACCACGCGGTCCCACTGCAGATTGGCGGACTTCAAATATTTTCGAAATATATAATATAGTAGTTCGAAATATGTATAGAGTTACTAGCGCTCCTTTAATCCACAAGTCTATCAAAAATTTTATGAGCTACGAAGCTATGTAACTAACGGCCGTTCGTTGTGTATAGCGAGCCAGACGTAAGTGTACGAGCGGTCTCGGCAGGTCGTGCAGCTGGTCGCCGGAGCGGCGGGTGCTGGCGGCGCGCGTGCTGTCGCCGGCGCTGCCGCCCGCCACGCCGCCGCTGCGCGCGCTCCCGCCCCGGCCCGCGAGGCTCCCCCGGCCACGGCCGACCCACGCCAGAGACAACCCGCCGCCGGCCGTGACCGGTATAGCATAGTCTTTTCCACTTGTGCGCTTGATGTTACCCATGCACCGCTCGATATACGGGAGAGGAGATTGTGAGCTTGGTGATACTGCAGGGAATTGCTTGAGAGCTTTGTGATGTGACTGGTTTTAGAATCGGCAATTCCCTTTCGAACTCGCGTACGCTGTACTGCTAGAGAATCCATTTATGAGCTTAATGATGGTCCAAGGGGATTGGTTTTGTGTCTGACGAAACCAAAGTTGTGTGAGCACGATGATACTTCAAGAAACACTAAGATTAAAAGGAAAGCAAATGATCTTAATGAATGATACGCACAAGTGATTTTTTTTTCACAAGTTACCGATGAACAATAGCCATTTTGGCTTGATGTTACTGTGACCGAAATGTGCGCGACCACAACCCGCTGCCGGTCATGACCGTTATTGCATCGTCTTTTTCACTTGTGCGCTTGATGTTACTCATGAACAATAGCCATTTTAACTTTATGATACTACTGACAAGCGGTTGTGAGCATGATGATACTGCGGGGAAGATCTTATGAGTTTTACGATAGCCCTCTGACTAGCTTGAAAACGATAATGGCGACTTTATAAAACATCAGGATTGATTTACGCACGTCGTATTGCCTTATACGATTTATATATTATTTGATTTATGACCTTACATTATTAGGTTTAGTGTCTAAAGAGCGAACTAACGATGTGAACACGATAATACCGCACGAAAACTAACATTAAAAGGAAAGATATGGGTCTTAATGAATGAGTGATTTCAGATGTAAATCATCTCGTTGATGATGCTTGCAATAATTTATTGACGCACCCTGCATGTGGTTTCCCAGTAATAAGCATCACTAAAGCCATAATTCCATAATCTACATAATCACATTTTAAATACAGGTACAGCCGTGAGGACACCACGTTTGGCGGTGGTGGACCTCAGCGCCTTTATTCGTACGCCGGAACCTACACAACAAAATAAGTTCACAAGATCCGGAATACGGGCTGCACATTCCAAGAGACATTCCCGAGCACGAGCGTTCACCAGTGACGAGTACGATACTCATGAATCGGATTCTTAAGAAATATACATGTGTAACCAATAAAAATGTTTTCGATTTTTGTATCAAACCCATTTCAACTACAGCATGTATCGAGGTAATAAATAAACCCAATGATTTAATGAAACGACAGTGTTTTTAATGAAATGTATAATGTCTAAGCTTCGTATTTACAATCACTAACAACTATCTAATCATTCAGTCATCACTTCCTTAGAACGAATCTTAACATGAACACTATTATCACTACAATTTCAATCATAACTGCAACGGCGTAATGAAAAAGAATTGAGTATCAGTATCGGGAGGTTTATTCTCGACGTCAGAGGCGTCACTTCTCGCGTTGGCGTGTTGGCGCGCGCACGGAGATACACTCGGGGGATTAGTAGAAGCGCGAGCGCGAGCGGTTCGCGTCGGGCAAGCGCGAAGCACCTCTAATAAATATCTTTGGCATGAACTGGACAGTTCGCCGACGTGCGGGACGCGGGGGCGCGGGGGGGCGCGGCGGCGGGCGGGGCGCCGCTGTCGCGCCGGCGCCGTCATTCCCAGGCGTCGGCGTCCGGCTCCGCTTTGGCCTCGTCGTCGGAGAGCGTCACCAGGCAGAGGTCGGTGGTGAGGGGCGCGGTGGCGGGGGGCGGGCGGGCGGCGCGCCTCTGGCGCAGCATCTCCTCGTCGGCCGGCGTGCGCGGCTTGCGGAACTCGTACACCAGCGGGAATATGCGCTCCACCGCAGACTGCACGTCGTTCACGCTTCGAGCTGCGGACGGAGGGAGGCGGACGTGAGACAGCATTCAACGGCCGATTCATCCAGACACCGTTGTGCAGGCGAATGGGCTAGATGCGATATCTAAGAAACAATGGAACTCGTAGAGAGTACTAAGTACGCACAGGAAATATTGTTATTATCAGTATTTTAATGAGGCTGCGTGGTAACAAGCCCACATTTTGTGCTAAGACTAGTAAAAGAATCTAATATTCAGAAGTGATAAAATTATAAAATTTTGATGCTATTCTATATTCAGAATTATACTAAGAGACCATTGAAGTTTTTGATCAATATTCGTTGACAGTTTAAAAGAATTGACGAAAAGGAACCTTCTGCAGCTAGTTGACTCCTAAAATTTTTTTGCTGAAGCGAAACGAATCGAGCCATTTTTGAAATGCGTCGAGACTGGCGATGTAAAATAGGTCACGTGCGTGAGCAACAGGCGAAGAAGCTCGTGGCCCAAGCGCGGTGAGCCAGCCCAACCGATCGCAAAGCCAGGATTAAATACCAAGAAGGGTCCACTGTGTGTTTCTCGGGATTGGGAAGGAGTCATCCACTGTTGTCAAATTCAATAAATAAAAATCAAATTCGAACCTACACCGTCAACAACTGTCGAGTTTGAAGCCGTCGTTCGAGTAGAAGCGTCCAGAAAAGGGTCATATTGTGTTCCATAAAGACAACACGAGCAAAAATTTTCTTGATGATGATAGACTAAGACTAACTGGACTAACGGGTAACTGGCTTCAAGAGTTTTGTGAGAATGAGCTGGTTTATTACTAATTAGTACAAATTTTTTTAATGAAATCGCCTTTAGAATGAACAAAGTTATCGAATTGCGCGCTTATTTGATCTAAATCTGAAAATATCAACTTCATTAACAATTTCTTCATCAACATAGATAATTTCATCGTCGAAATAAAAAGAAAAAATTTTATTGGAATTTTTATCTTTTTGACAAGTTAACTACTAGGGAGACTATACCAGATACTGAGGATCTGGTATAAATTTCAACTTGCTAGGTCCACCCGTTCCTGAGAAAATCGGTGGTGACATACGGACGGACGGACGACGGAGTGATCTTATAAGGATTCCTTTTCCTTTTTTACCTATTGAGGTAAGGAACCCTAAATAAGCTTTTATGTCATTTATTTTTTTTTTAAACGTGAAAATGTGTCCTAAATATTTATAATATTTATTTATTACCTGTTACATTTTATCGCTACAATGCCGTGGTAAATTATATTTGGGTCAATGTAAATAGGTCTCGATTCAATCGGAAGAAGCAACAAAGTTCCCGGTAGCATACAGTGGTAACAAGGAAGTAGCGCTCAGGCATTGTTCCGCTAAATGAATACAGTGGATTTCATTCTTAAAGTCCTATGTTGTTTTTAGTTAGTGATGTTTTACATAAGTAATAAATATAACTTATAGTATACTTTCAGAAAAAATATAACAACTATAGCGACTGCGGGTGTCATTGAGATTTATGTTATGGCGACTAGTTTTAAATTAAAATGTCTTCAATATAGAAGTATTACACTTACTTAATGATTGTCAAAATTCTACTACCACCGGTTCGCAATCAGCATCTGACCTGAGAAGAACCGCCGAAAGAAACTCAGCGGGTAATTTTTTTTTACCATTATTTGACAGTGAAAATAGGTTTACAATATATTTCTAAATATATAATATATAAATCTTTCTTATATGCACATATATTTATAAAGCTTTCTTATATGCACATATTGTGTCCAAAAGAGAGAGTAGTCAGGTAGGTAAAGTTAAGTTTAAGATGACGAATTGATGAGATAATGAGACACATGGAGAGACAAACCCTGTGCTGTATGTAGTGCGGGATTATTCAGCCTTGTGTAGGAGTGAATATTTAAAAGGGTTGGCCCAAATTAAGACGCATTGTTTGACACAGATTTGATGTATTTAAATAGAAACTCATTTTTTAATGCGAATCAGATGTAAATTTTAAAGACGTTTGGCGTTCGTTATTTAAAACACTTCAGGCAGAGTTTGTGTGGAAAATATTTCGCTTATATATTATACCGACAAGAGGATCACGATGAGTAGATGGAAAAATAGATAGAGACAATTATTCGTCGCCATTTCGTTTGCTACAAAAGAAAGCCCCAACAGACAAGAGAATGGTGGGAAGGAGAATTGTGGCAAGGTAAAAGAACAAACCTGTTATTGTCACACCTCCCGTGGAAAAGATCTTAAGCGTGGCCTTTGGGTTGAAGAGCTTGTAAGTGACGCCCGGGTGCAGCTCTGGCTCGTAGCTGAAACAGCAAACAAAACAGTTTTAGGGCGCCGACGAATTGCCGTCCGCGTCAGCAACAGGTAAAACTGTTCGCGAACGCATATCGCCGGTCGGATTAAAATTACAAGGAGGGCAACCGCAAACACTTATAGTTGTTTTTTTTTTATTTTGTTGACATTAACCAACAAGTTAAGGTTAACTGAACGACCTTAAGAGAGTGGCCCGAAATCTGGGCGAATATAAAAGCTCGCAACTTCACTTAAACACGTAATGAAGCGGCAGATCCAGTTAATGTTTTAATGCCCTCATTTTCGTACAGCGGCGGTGACGTTGAGCTTTTGAATGTTTTCAACATATGTTATGTGACTTCTCGATGAAGTATTTGTTTTTTACTTATGCAGATGACCGATGCCGATGACGTCCTCTAGATGGTACCGCCCCCAGCGATTCTTACAATGATACTGTGCCCGTTAACCACACAATGGCAGTTGACAAACTAATAGGTAAACATTCTTAAGACTTTACGATTTAAAACGACAACCGATGTGCCTGCAGAAATATAAATTCGACATATTCCTTAAAAAAAAACACATCGCTTTTATCGTATTCTGATTCTGTACGTGATTGTACAGGCAAAAATTCCTTAAAAAATACATCTTTATAACGTATCCTGTACGCGATTACACAGCGGTAGCTTAATCTAATATCATTTCGCATCATATTAATATTATGCTAATGCAAGAGCGAGGATGCGAAAGATAGAGATAAGGGATCAGCAAATATGGTAATCTCGCAAACAATGCTTCCGGGACCAGTCGTGGTCGATCTCCGTTTGAGAAACTAATAATAAGTGAGACATTGCTAAAATATCGTCGGAGACGCCGGCTTGAATACAGCCACCTAGTAACTCGATAGGAGTCGTGTCGTGTAAGGCCTTAAGAATTTTTTTGACCTTGGTCAAAGTACGAGAAGTGTTTACGGGCTCATATGAAAATTAGCGCCTATGGTGGTCTAAATATTAAGGAATTAGCTATTTACAGATCGAGGCAATCGAAAAGCGTGTATTTTCGAATTAGTCAAAAAACTGTAGTTATACAGAACTTCCAAATATACAAATATGGCGAAGAGTTTTTCTTTGAAATAAACACCATTTATAAGAAAGCGATAACAAATACTCTCTCTGTAGGTGTAGTAGGGTTCAGTTGAATTAAAAATTAATTTGCAAAATATTTGTTACAATGAGATTAACAAAAATTTCAATATTTCTTGGTTTTTTCAAAAGATTCGACTGAGACATGTCCACGCAGCAACTTCTGCGTTTGAAAGAATGGCCAGGGTCCAGAGAAGTACAACGGTCTCACAAAAGAAAGGCGTGAAGAGGAAACATGCTTTTGCGGTTTCTTCTGCTATCGGGGGTCCATTTTTCTAAAGATCGGTAAAATCAACTAAAATACAGAAAAACAGACAAATTTCGAGCGCAGACTACATACAAGACTACTACAGACACCGTCTGTGTTAAACACGATTAATAAAACCATTTATCTTATTTATAGTTACACTACTTTATAGTGTTACGTTACTTTAAACAACACAGCCTCTCTTCACGAAACTTGAATGTCAATAATCTAATATATAAAGTTCTCGTGTCACGGTGTTTGTAATTGAACTCCTCTGAAACGGCTCGAACGATTTTCGTGAAATTTTGTGTGCTTATCAACCAGGGTGGAGAATCGGACAACATCTATTTTTCATCCCCCTAAATATTAAGGGTGGCCCACCCCAAACAATTTTTTCTTCCCTACAAATAATTTATATGGCAAAACAACGTTTGCCGGGACGGCTAGTATCATTAATAAAGTATCTAAATAAAAACAAGAATTCGAATACACCAAACGTGGTATGCTCGGTTTTAAATAAAATAACTATTTATAAGTCACATAAAAATGTATGACATTACGTGATTGAATGGTAAAAACTGACGCACAGTAATTGCATAAACAATAAAGGAATATAACGTTTCTGAATTATTTTAAAATTCAATCGTCCCATCTTATAACATAACATTTTTAGAACATGCTAATACTCAACGATGGCTTCTTTTTTATATTTTCGAAACATATAACATATATCATGTATAATAGGTACCTATAATATTCAAATATAGTGAGGTTTAGAAAATGCGTTTAAAGAGACTTTATTATGATTTACATTTAATAACATAATTAAATACTATGTTGCTATTCGCACTTACATAAATTCAATTTGGAAACACAATCATTACGTTAATTACAACTCAATCTTTAAAAATATAACTAAATAACATAACTTATAAATAATATAACTAATTATAAATGATGACTCCGTGGTACAGTTGCCAAGGTATTCGGCGTCGTGGGTTCGATTCCCACACGGGACAACTATTTGTGTGACCCACAGGTAGTTGTTTCGCATCTGGGTGTTTGTCCGCGTGAAATTTATGTTTGTAAAACGTCCCTACAACACAGGATAATGTTATCCTAAAGTAAGGGCAATGTTTTTTAAAAAAAATGAAAATGTAAAAAGAAAGATTAAATAATTAAATTTCCCTGTGCTAGCAACGATTGTCTTTATACAATACTAGCGAATCCCTGCGACTTCGTTTGTGTCACTTATATTGAGAATGTATTTTATGAGCAGACGAAAACACATCAAAAAGATCGGAAGCAAGATAATACTTTGATTACAAAATTTTACAGTAACTTATAAAAACCGTCCTTTCTTAAAATTTTAATAACTCGACATTAATTGAAGATATCACAATATTCTTCGATAAGGGCTTAGTGTCTAAGAAATAAAAGTTAGACGAATAAATTGATATTTATCCATTAGTTTTTACGCGATGCGCGCACAATGGTATATCTCTATCACTTTATTTATATAGATAGCGTCGAATGACTGAATACAATTTATAAAATGTAGTTGATAAAATAGTATTTACAAGGTAAAAGCAAAACCATTAACATTGGCGAATTTATAATTCGATGAGACGTGAACATTGCAAATGGATACCATAAGACGTAGAATGCATTTTATTAATACATACATACATTTGTTATTCTAAAATTGCTCGATCACGGGCCACTGCACCGATGGGGGCACCTTGAGCAGTTGACTTCCACAGGGTCGGAGCTGCGTAGTAGACACGGAGTAACGAACTTATAAAAAACCTATACGTTTTCCAAATAGTATCCGATTTCAAGATCGTCAGAAACGTTGGTACTTCAGATGTTACAATCAATCATTTCTGTGCAGCCAGTGAGTTTTATCAATTCACTTTGTCTTCACTACGTATATTTTTTCGATTATATCATATTTTTCCTCTACAAGACTTATAAGCTCCTATGCTTTCACTCGGGAGCTTGTGCTAACTAGCGTTAAATTAGCTTGTTTGTTCCTTTTAAATTTTATTAAATCATTAAAGCTAAATAAAAAGATAACGACGAGTGACGACCTGTGCGAGTGTGCGGGAAGTCAATGGATGCAGGTGGCTCAGGTCAGGATCGTACTTCGTGGCAGTCTGTGAGGGAGACCTATGTTCAGCAGTGGATACAAATGACTGAATGACAACAGAACTCAACTCAAATGACAACAGACTGAAAAGATGATGATGATGAATAAAATAACACTAGTTGTGGTCTCCGGGTGCGGACGTGAGTCCTTATGACTACTAATAAATTTATGACTTTAACGAACTAAAATGCGAATTATTTATATTTACCGAGCCATTATTTACTTCCCTTCCTGTCACATTCCCTGGCATTAATTTAAAAGCTAGACTTAAAGGAAAAGCTTTATAATGTTATATTTCATGTCTTAAAGATGATGACATTCACTGAAAACTTTGAAATAGTTTGAACACATTTCAAAGTATCGGTTAATTCTTAAGTTATAAACGCGTATATTTTGGTTGATTTATGTCAATTGTGTAGTAGTATAAATCCAGTTACGCGATATAAAAAATTCATTTCCGACTCGAACAAGTTCATTGTTCCGTCCAAATATATATTGCGATGCATGAAACTGTAGTAACCAAACGTCGTGGATCAAACCAGACATGTCTCCTTGGAACGTCCTAGGGGTCAACACGTCGGGAATAGACAGTTAATGACGTTTCCATCCAATACCTACACAGCAGTAATTTTAAAGCGATTAAGACGATTTTATTGGTCTAAATTATCATCCAGCAAATTTTACACCTTTACATCCACGAGTATGTGCCCGTCGCAATAATATTAATATAATTGCTATGTTTTTTTTTATAACTTAAAACGTTAAAGTTTTGTTATAAACTCAACAGTGTTTATATATTGTGTTCCGGTCCAAAAAGTTTAATCAGCTGTTCTCGGAAATATTACGACGGCGACAGCTTTTGGAGTGCATACCACGATACATTCTTTTCGAAATTGCAAATATTCAAACACGAAGATGAGTAATCTTGTATAAATGGCAAATATTAAAACACGTGATCGCAAGAGCGCACGGGCGTTATAAGCACCCAGAGAAATGCAGTAAATTAATTTCTATTTCGGGTCGTTTTAAATCGATTATTGAGTTCGAGTTATACAAGACATTTTTAAGGCAGCGTACACGTGTACAAGGAGCTATTTTTGTATCATTACATTATTGTTTTGAATACACGGTTATTAGTCGTCACGTTGGATTAATACAGGTGTGCGAGCAGGACATGTGCATTAAAATCAGGCTATTCCTCGACACATACCCACATGAAGTGGCGGTTTTAGTCACAGGTGGTAAACGCACTGGCATAGGATAACGGACCAGATGTTGCCGGTTCGAAATTGACCATAAAAGAAAACTCATGATTATAACTATTTGTACACACTTTGCTTACCTTCATTGTACACTAATTCATTGTACATTTTAACTTCATTATACTAAAATTTCGTGAGTGAACTATAACTAACATAGAAGATGGGAGTCACATGACTTTTGTTACATAAATTTTAGAAATCTTTAGATGTGGCCTATTTTTCTTAGGCGAGTATAATAAGCTTAGGGCAAACTTATCTAAACTGGGCATAACAGGAAGCTGAGTATAGTATTTAATTGTTTTTATTAAAACTCGGAAAAGAAAGTATTTGAGTTTATATTGAATAAAATACTATACGTGATCGAAGTGAAATTCTGAGCAAAATCTAAGCAGACTAATAATAATCATTATACTAGACCAGAAATGAACGATCAATGGAAGAGTGTCATTAAGTTTGGCTTGTTCTTTCTTATTTCATTATTATCTGAAAATGTTTAATTCATCAGACGAAGTTTGCACGAAGCAATCGCTCTTACCCTAACCCTGACCCAATAAGCGCTTGCTCATTAACATTAATATTTTGTTTAATGCATTGATCCTTACGAAACGAGCGTCTATTGTTAGAGCAATGCAAAGAGAAAACACCTGGGACCATAAAACTAGGACCACAATCTCGTTCAAAGTTAATCTGTTTACGTAACACGTGTAACTACTACATCAAATGCGTTTGCTTGAGCAGATACGAGTTATCAACGAATGCATTTCGGGAATTCAAGTATTAGTATTAAAATTACAGACTAGCGCCATCACTGTTGCTAAACGTAAGACCTGGAATTAATTTGGTTTGATACTTGTCTCTTATATAGCAATGAATTATTTAGTAGGCTGATTTACGAAGATATCTTGATATATGTTGTTTATTGACCTGAGAGGGTGTGGATAATTTCTGTATTTTCATACAAAATGCAATACATCTTTATATAACCATTTGCGTATCGGGGTCAGCAGTTATAATATTGCTGGACTTAAATAACATCCAAGTTAACATTTAGATTAAAAGGGTTAATGAACTTGGTATTCTCGATATTTTTAAGCATTATCTACTTTGTATTATATACCCATGCCAGTGTCATTCACATTATTGCGAACCGAATAATGTGCTTATTTAATGACTTTTTCAATTTTGCGCCGTAAACAGTGACCAAACGGTATCTAAGCATCGTAATAAATAAAACGCGTGCGATACTCACTCCGCTTCCTTGTACTTCTTGGAGAATGCTATGATCCTTATGCCGAAAGGCATGCGGCACGTGCCCAGGACGTTCACCACGCGAAAGTTCTGGAAGCGCACTTGGAAGCCGAGCTTCTGGAGGGCGCGCGCGTACCGGCGCGCCGCGACCTTCGCCTGGTCCTCGCTGGTGGCGCCCGTGCACGTGACCCGCCCGGAGGACCAGATCGACGCGGTGGTGTACGGGCGGCGCAGCTTCATGGTAACCATACCGTTCTCGCGTCTGAACTCAACGTTAACACCGTTCAACGCGATCTGTCTCAGGTTCAGGTGGCACTTAACACTAAAACTGCACACAACATTGTTTATCATGATGTCTATTTCGGGGGTCTCCTCCTCCTCCTCGGCGGCCTCCATTGGCGCGTCGCCGCCTGCTTTGGAGCAGGGCTGCGGCTCCTGCGGTTGCGGCGTCTCGCAGTACTCGTGATCGGGCACCATGTGGCTGGCGACGCTGTGCGCCGATATGCCGTGGTTCGCGACGACTCCATGGGTGCCTTTGCTCAACCCTTTGATACCATTCTCCTGTATGAGCGTAGCCATGTCCACCACGGCTTGCTGGAATATTGCAAAATAAAGAATGATAAGAAAATATCTCAAAAACATTAAACTAAAATTACCCATTAATTGATGTATGCATATTTGTTTTCTACAATATCTTATAACAATATAGTATAAATAAATAGCCATAATATTTTTTTATCCAAACCCTCTGTAGACTTATGACATTAATTGTGCGTTTCAATCCTCTTTTATTTTAATTATCTACTAGTGGCCATTATTAACAAACAAAATCATCTCATTAATATATATAAAAATTACTGAAACAAAAGTTTACAAAAGACAATAAATCTGTGTCAATCGAAAACTGATAAAGATCTGATAATTCTAAACAAGGTCACAATGAGATTTCTGTAACAAAATAAGACAAACTAAAGAAACACATTTTATTGTTCACAAAAAATTTTATATTAATAATGGAACATTATTAATTATGGAATCAAATTTGAGATAAATAAATCCATCTCAAGTATTAAAATACTCACGAGAGGAAGTGAATCATGCAACCCTAATCAAACATTGATTAAATAGTGAGTGTAGCGGTTATCAGCATCGTCCAGCAACAAACCATAAAGGGAACTTTATTGAAAATTGTTGATTGCACAACAATGGTGAATGCCAAACATGCCTTACAATGAAAATGTTAAACATGACTTCACAAGTTCTTATATAACATTTTGCATTTCAAGTTCTTACCTCCCAAAAATTTTGTTTTTAATGTAATTCTAAAAATGTATATACTTTTAGATTAAGTACATTTAGATTGCTGTAAGGTTCATATTAAGCTTTGATTTTAATATTATAATTTGTTTTTAGCAAACATTTATACAATGCTATAACTATATTTTAATTAAGTATATGTCAACCTTTCAATATTAAAAGTGTCTTTCTTTTACTAGTAGCAATAAGAGTAACAATTTTCTAAAATAGGTTAGTTGGAATGAAAACCATAAATACATTACAAAAATTACGGTCAGTTGTAAAGTAATTTATAAAAAAGTTATCAAAAATTAAAAAACTTAAAGAATTATCATAACAAAGTTTTCTAAAATGAATGTAGAATGGTATAAAATATATAATTAAATTAAAACAAACATACTGCAGCTGTTAAATATAAAAAAATGACAAAATATTATTGGTAACTTGAACATGAAATGACACTAGAACTAGAACAAAAGAATGTGTGCCTATGAGAAAAAAATTCGTATATGTATTATGGCTAATCAAAAACTTTAACTTTGTAAAATCTGCAATGGTTTTTACATCTAGGTCATTACTCTCCATAAAGCCAAATTTCGCGAAGATTCAATGGAGGGGCAATAATTTAGGCCACTTCCCACGACGCAGCGCCGCGCGACATGACACTCGCACAGCTGACTGTCGGACTTGCCTCGCCCCCCCGCCCACCGCCACTGCCGCGCACGTAGCGCTTAAATGCACCAACCCCGGGAAGGATCATATTTTGTTGTAACAACCTCCATATCATCGAGCAAAAGGATTTTCTTTTTGCACTTCAAACGGAGAAGTTCGATTATCGAAATGCCACCGAACCTCGATCAGCCAGTGCAAATATCGACATTGTTATACCTGGTTATAATTAACGGAATCTCCTTAAATATTAAGGCACATTTTTTACCTTTGATATAATAATTAAACTGAAATAGGTTGAAGTCAGCAGTTATTGACCCCACAATAACGTTCAATCCACACGTGATTGAAAAGCACAAAGGATTTGTTCCTGGTAATAGTGTAATAACCGTATATAATTATAATTAATCTATACGTATAAAATGTAATGTTTTAAACTTCAAAATTAGGTACGAAAAATACCACGAGAAAAATAAGGAATGAGGAGTAAAATGTTATGCACATCAGATATGAATTACACTTTTTGGATGCTGTTATAAAATATTCTTAGGAAAGCTAGTGTTTTAAGGTATTAATAGAAGTTATTGAAACAACAGATTTACCTGAAATAATGTGCTATATTTGTCACAATTATTTTTACACCACCAATGAAGTAATAATTTTCATTGCAAAATTGTCCTAATATGTGTATATAAATACAAGGTTTCAAATCACACTGCAACTAATAATTTAAGTAATACACGTTAAATCTTTTAAGTAACTGTAGAATCCTATCAATATTGCTATTCGTTAAAGCAAAAATTAAAAGCTTATGCACGTCCTGTCTAACACCGCCATGTTCTATCCGACCGAGGAGTGAGAATGAGAAATAAAATCAACTCATTCAATACACGAACGGTTACTTCGAATGATTGAATCTTTGATAAAAATATCTATTCTGTCTTCAGATGATATTTATATCTACTTTGATATAAAATTAGTATATATTAGTTTGATTTCTAGTAATTTTACTAAACTGCACTGAAATGTTCTAGTTTCCATTACTCTGATTAAAAAAATATTTTTTAAATTTAAAAAACACAAGCGCTTTATTTTATTATCCTTATAACAAATTTGTTGTAGTGACAAATTATATATTATTTATTTCGCAGATTAGAAAATTATGAACTTAACCCAGTTCATTTTGGTAATTTTAAATATATTGGCCGTAGTTTGCTTGCAAATATATTTTCTAATCTACAATATATTACTTATAACAATTGTACATGGTAATACTGTTAAAATAAATTTATTTTAGTAAATGTTATTTGTATTAATAATTATTTAATTAATAATATGCAATCATAAACTAATATGTAATAAACATAAACATTAAAGATTAAAGCACGATTTATGTTTTAATTAAGTGACTAGATTATTTTAAAATCTGTCTAAATATATATTTAAATATATTATATGTATATTCATTTTACGAGTAAACTATGAGTGTTGAAATAATACATATTTAAATGAATTTTAACTGAATTGAGGCAGAAATTTATGCTTATTTTTTAATCTGACAAAACTAAGACCACAACCGATTTGACAACCATGGAGAATACAAAATAGTCGCCATTGCAAACTCCACCTCCAATAACTTGCAATATGTTTCTAGCTTCACGTTATTGTTCGATCATCATTCGTCAATCAAGCGGTTTACATTATATTCTAATTTAACATTATTCTTTTATGTTGTGCCAATAATTGTCTAGTTTTTTTATCTGAATATAAATAACATTGCAGGGATAATTGTTATTGTAATCAATGAACCAGCTATGTTTGCAAACGTGCATATGCTTTGTTGTGAGAACCACCTTTATCTGCTGTCATTTTGAGCTTTAATAAGTAATTTTTTGGGTAATGAAACTAAAGTTACCTGTTAAATTTTAGGCAATTGAGGATACGAACGTGTGGTATAGCAAGATATTATTTTCTTGTTGATGTATCGTAATGAGAGTGGTGTCTCCAATCGGGGTGCTAATCAGGAGAATGTGCGGTGGCGTTTAGTGTCAGAGGATATCAGAAATTGGATTCAGCATGGAAGCGGTAAAGGATGAGGATCGATGGCGGCGGCTGTGTGCGTTGGAGGATATACTATGCGATCCTCGATCTACCGGCAACGTGGATTGCTTACTCGACACAGTGACGGCACTCGTCTCTGACTGCGATCATCCAGCGATTCGACGCATGAAAAATGTCGAAGCCTATACCAGCAGATGTGAGTAGAAAGATTTAGAAAAATTCTTTAACCTTGCATTTAAATGTTCCTTTTGAATTGATTTTAAGCTTGATAGTTGTATTTGCAAAGTAATGAAGCAATTATTTAAAAAAAAATGATTACAAACAAGGCAAGCTTGTAAAAATAAGAAATTATTTGGAACTAAAACATTGTTACATGAAGTTTATGTAATAAACACTCAATATTTATTTTATTCATGTGATTTAAAACATGTAGCGTTAGAGATAGCAATTTGCAGCAGTCATATTATACTTTAAATCATTTTGTATATTGGTATAACATTTGACACAGAAATAAGTGGTTAGAGTTATAATTAATTTGAATTAAGCTTCTGACACTTAGTCATCAATACTTTGTATACATTAAGAATGAAAAGGTTTAGAGAAATAAAAAGCAAATATTAATGTTTTTAATAAATTACCATATTTTTACTTTATTCTGCAATTTATAGTTTTTAAATTAAAAAGTAGAAATAATCTCTTATAGACTAAATGAAATTAGTATACAATAATAAAAAAAATATATTTAAAAATTACTATAATATAAAACATCACAATATATTATACTGTCCATCATCAATTAACAATGTTAGTTAACCGAAGCTTTTCATTATTTGTAAATAATTCTATGAGACAACTCCAAATTTAAACACAATGTATTAAGGAAAATGATGTTCTTAGGAAATAAACTTTATACATCATGAATTCTTTTTTAGATGAAGAGTTTGCTTCAGACATAGTGAATCTACGTATGAAAGCTGCTGATTTTGATTTAATTAAGGTGATTGGTCGAGGAGCATTTGGTGAAGTTCAACTAGTCAGACAAAAGTCCACACGGCATGTGTATGCTATGAAACTTTTAAGTAAAGTTGAAATGATTAAAAGGTCTGATTCTACATTTTTTTGGGAAGAGAGACACATTATGGCACATGCTAATTCAGAATGGATCCTGAAGCTTCACTTTGCTTTCCAAGATCAGAAATATCTCTACATGGTGATGGATTACATGCCTGGTGGTGATCTGGTTAGCCTGATGTCTAATTTTGATATACCAGAAAAATGGGCAAAGTTTTACACAATGGAAATTGTTTTGGCCTTAGATGTTATTCATGGTATGGGTTTTGTTCACAGAGATGTAAAACCTGATAACATGTTAATTGATAGGTATGGTCATCTTAAATTAGCTGATTTTGGTACATGTATGCGAATGGGTCCTGATGGGCTTGTCCGAGCGAGTAATGCTGTAGGCACACCTGACTATATATCACCAGAGGTTTTGCAGTCTCAAAATGGTGAGGGTGTGTATGGACGTGAATGTGATTGGTGGGCTGTGGGTATATTTTTATATGAAATGTTGATAGGGGACCCACCATTTTATGCAGATAGTTTAGTAGGAACTTATGGGAAAATAATGGATCACAGGAATTCTTTACAATTTCCTGATGATGTTGAAATTTCGAAAGATGCAAAGTCCCTTATAAGGGGCCTTCTAACAGATAGAACAAGAAGATTGGGTAAAAATAGTGTTGATGAAATTAAACAACATCCCTTTTTTATCAATGATCAGTGGAGTTTTGATAGCCTACGAGATTCGGTGCCACCGGTTGTCCCTGAGCTATCTAGTGATGATGATACTAGAAATTTTGATGACATTGAAAAATCTGATGCTCTTGATGAGTCATTTCCTGTTCCTAAGGCATTTGTGGGCAATCACCTACCGTTTGTTGGATTTACCTACAATGGTGATTATCAAATCTGTGGAGGAAAAAGAAAAGCAGCTGATGTAGTTGATACTATATCAAATAATCACTTAAACAATGTTGGATCTGAGGCAATATTGCAATTAGAAAAACTTCTGGAAAGAGAGAGAGATGGAAGGCGAAAATTGGAAGATAGACAAGTCATGCTTTGTGCTCAACTTGAAGAATTAGCTCAAAGAGAATCGAGAAATAAAAAAATAATAGCTGATACTGACAAGGAGTTAGCCTTACTAAGACATGATTTAAAAGATATCCAGCGCAAAGCTGAGGCAGAGTCAGATGCCCGAAGGAAAGCAGAATTTAATTATAGTGACATAAAACGACGCCTTGATGAGGAGCAGACTAAGAGAGTGAAAGAGATGAACAATTTGCAGACTTATAATGACAAAATTAACATGTTGGAAAAGCAGTTGGCAGAAATGCGGGAAAAATTAAAACTGGAATCAGAGGCTGCCGCAAAATCACGAAAACAAGCAGCCGAGCTAAGTGCAGCACAGGCCGCGGCGGCAGCTGTGAGTGACGGAACAATGGCAAATCTACGAGCTCAACGTGATACCCTAGAGAGGGAAAGAAGTGCTTTGTCCGAAGAACTAGCATCAATGAAGGCGGCTAAGCAACGTTCTGATGCTTCTGTCACTGAAGCTACAAACAGATTAAATGCTGCTCATTCGGAGTTGGAGCGATCCTCAGCAAGAATGGGACAGATCATGAATGATAATCGCCAGTTGTCAGAGCGTGTGTCATCATTAGAAAAGGATTGTGCTTCTTTAACTCACGAGCTTCGTGCCTCGCAACACCTTTATCAACAGGAAGTTCGCGCGCACCAAGACACCCAGCGCTCTCAGTTACTATCTAAACAGGAAGCAAATTTGGAGATTGTTAAGGGTGAGCTTTTCTTTTGCATATTTTCCTCAAATGCTTTTAGATATTTAGCTAACCATCCCATACAAAAGCTACAATCAAGTATATTTGTAAGCCGAGCCCTAAAATGTTGTGACTATATACATGTAATAATTGAATTTTTGCATGCATCAGGAACATTGGAAACATTACTGAAAGGTATTATTCATTTTGCTAATATGTGTCATCCTTGTTTAATAGTAGTGTTTAAATATTTAGTATGCAAATTTTCCTTCCCTTGCCTGAGTAGTTTTATTATTAGCTATATCAAACCTTTTATTTAGTTCCAAATTTACTTTCTAACAAATCTGATTTTAAAAAAGAAATTTCACAATTTTTACAAGAATTGTTACAAGAAACTATTGCCAAATCCAAATTCATAGATACACATTAAATGTATTTCCCTGACAGCTTTACAAGGTAAATTAAATGAAGAGAAGACTGGACGACAGAGGGCTGAAGCTGCTTGCCAAGAAAAGGACAGACAAATGTCAATGCTAAGTGTGGACTATAGACAAATGCAACAGCGCCTACAGAAGTTAGAAGGTGAACATCGTCAAGAAAGTGAAAAGGTAAGAGTATTTTCATTTTTAAATCTTATAACATCCTGAAAAATGGGTCTTCTTAATTAATTAAGTTTAAAACAAAACTTAATGCCAATTTACCATCAAATTTAATATTTATGTAAATGTCTATGTGATCTATAAATTATTGTTCCAAATTTGGCTGTATTTGGGGTGATTTTCATGTTTGTGAAAACTGTCAATATGAAAAGGTGTCAATATCAAAGTCATTACATACTAAAATTTTGTGGAATAATTTTTTTAGCCTTCATAATTTCAGATTAAACATTATCAGATTTCGGACTCAGTATTCTATCACTTGGCATGTAGTCTTTTTATGACATAATAACTATGCACTACATAATAATTATTATGTATGTCGTATATGACAAATGACTATTTTTCACGTGTCAAATACAACAGTAGCTAGTTTGATAAATAGAATGTAATTTACTGTTCCACACAGATGTAATTTACTGTTCCACACAGACAATAAATGTATTCCTGATAATGAATCTAGATGAAAATAGGTTATTTATTTTGAGGACAAGTTTAAAGTATGATTAAGATTACAGTTTATACAGATCATATATGATAATGAATAAAATTATGCATTAACAGTATGTTTATTTACCTTTTTGGTTAGTTCTATGATGTTATTTTAAGTTAAATGATGAGACCATTTTTTTAATATGCTGATAATAAATACTATTCTATAATAACAATACTAATCTTAATATGTGCTTAGTGATTTTGGGGACAAGTAAATAAATGGCCAATTAGTCATATTTAATTACTTGCGATTGTAATAAAACATAAGAGCTGATAACTATTATTTTATTATATTATCAAACTATTTTGAGAGGCTGCCGTAGAGTAGTGTTTATACTTATATGATTAATTTGTTTTGTAAGGTAACTGGGAACCATTCACCTTTAAAATGCTGCCAACTTACTTTAACCTATTTCTTTTGGTGGGTGGTAATCACTTAACATTGATTTGGGTGTTTGCCACCTCCTTCCCATCATTGTAAATTTCAGTTTGCGTTCATCCATATTTTATTGGATTAAAGACGCAAGAGCAGATAAATATATAAAGATGCAAATCTACGTTGGTCTCAAATATTGATTTTTATTTCTTTCATCATTTTCTCCGTTTATGTTATGGAACGCGTTCATGAAGGAGCACTCGTTGTTCTAGATCGGTCTCGTGCTATTCCAGTGGCGCATCGATCAATTTATTTATATTTTATGAGGAAGAGGTTGGGTAGTTTTCCTTGGAAAATATTGCCCCCTTACTGTAGAATAACATAATCCTATGTTGTTGTAAGGACGTTTTACATACATAAATAAATCATCTTTGATTTATCAACAATGCTGTCTATTGAAAAGTTATTTACCTATAACTAAGGTACTACATATCACTTTTTTATAAGCCTTGTATATAAATTGAATTTCGGTGTGTACTTTGGACAGAATAATAAATTTCACAAGGACGGACCGAAACAATTATCTGCGGGTCACGAAAATAGTGGTCTCGTGTCGGAATCGAATCCACGATCCCATGCGCGTGTGTGCTTTAGGTGGTCGGCCTAGCGGCCGCCCTCGAGCAGGAGCGGACGGCGCGTATGGCGGCCAGCGGGGACACGGCTGCGGCGGAGGCGGCGGCGCGCGCGGCCGCGGCCGAGAGGGACGCGCGCGCGCGCGACCTGCTCGCCGTGCGCTCGGCGCTGCACGACACGTCGGAGAAGCTCGCCGCCGCCAGCGCCGAGCGCGACATGCACTACGCGCGGGTGAGTTTGCTGCCTCTAACTTTGCCCGAGCGACGTGACACTTTATAGAAGCTAATTGCGGCCGTCGATAAGTACAATGGGCGATTGAGTTTGTTGGCGAGACTCCGCCCGCGCGGCGTGACCCCTTATAGTAGCTCATTGCGGCGCCGATAAGTACTATGGGCGTTTGAGTTTGTTGCGTCTAAAGACTTTGCCCGCGCGACGTGACACCTTATAGTAGCTCATTGCGGCGCCGATAAGTACTATGGGCGTTTGAGTTTGTTGCGTCTAAAGACTTTGCCCACGAAACGTGACACCTTATAATTGCGGGCCGCCGATAAGTTACTATGGGCGGTTGAGTTTGTTGCTTCTGAGACTTCGCCTGCGTGATATGACATCTTATAGAAGCCCATTGCGGCTGCTAATGAATAATATGGGCGGTTGATTTTATTGCGTCGAAAGACTTCGACCGCGCGACGTGACACCTTATAGAAGCCCATTGCAACCGCCTGAGCAAGACATGCTCTATAGGCTATTGAGTTTGTTCCCTAAATGACTTCACCCGCGCGACGTGATAGAAACCCATTGTAGCTGCGGAATAGCAGAACGTACACCATGGTTTGAGTTTGTTATCTCTAAGCCGATTAGCATGCACTATGAGTGGTTGTTTCTGTCACTCACGAGCATATTGTTTTCTTATGCTTCATTGAAAACCGTCATTCACTCTCCATAGAACCATTTGATCAGACAAGGATGCTATCAGCGACTGGACAACTTTTGACAAGTCGACATAACGCTGTGTACGCCAGGTATACACGAACCTGGGGCTATCACTAATTATCGATGGTCGTCGAAACACCTAGACAAATATACGCATAATCACAGCCTACTATATGTATACATGAACATACTCCTACGAAAAGGTCCAACGTCATTCAATTTCTATTGCATTCAAGACAAGACTATTATATGTCATTTAACAAATTTCACTGGAATCACAGCAGAGTGGCATGCCTACGCTATCCAATGTAAAATGTTCAGTATACCATGAAAATTTTAAATTAATACGTAACACTTGTAATATTCATGTAGTGAACATCGAGAGTTAAGGCCCATTTACACGATGCCATTTTCTTGTACATGCAAGAGCAATAATTGAATGCAATAAATTGCGCGCAATAATTGGTTAGACCATTTGTTGTTTAGACCATGCAACTTATTTATTGCTTCAATTTAATTGTATACAACAGGCAAGAAACTGGCACCGTGTAAATGGGCCTTTAAGGCCCATTTACACGATACCATTTTCTTGTACATACAAGAGCAATAATTGAATGCAATAAATTGCGCGCAATAATTGTTAAGACCATTTGTTGTTTAGACCATGCAACTCATTTATTGCTTCAATTTAATTGTATACAACAGGCAAGAAACTGGCACCGTGTAAATGGGCCTTTAATGTCGTTCTCTACTGGAACATTGAAACTATTAAAAGTAATTAAGAAAAACCGCCACTTCATATCCGTAGTGCTACGTCTGTCGCAACTGAGACGCGGTCAGTAAAAATACCGCGAAACACATATTGCGTTCATTTGACAAACGTTGCGTCCGAGGAAACATTTGTCTCTTTGAATATTTATAATGATCACAAACAAAAATATGAGTCACGAGGCATAAACGGAATACGTGCGCAAATTCAAAAAGCAAATTCTAAATCAGGTTTCGCTGGAGGTGGTCGGCCGCGGCTAGATCGAGGCTTTACTAGCTCTGTGAATTAATAAGAGTCTCATCACGCCGAAATAGATTGTCCTTCACTATTACGACATTATGACTCACGTGTCTACTGCGAACGTATACATGAAACGTATATATACATCCACATTCGCCTTATTCCGCTACACCTGTTCTCCAAATAAACCGCGTTACGCGTCGTCCGCGGTTTTTCTGTGTGTGACAATGAAGTCATATGCAATTTAATGGGACATTCATTCATCGTTCATAGAACGTTACACTTAGCGGAGTTTATTAATGGGAGCTTGTGTTACACGTTGATTTCATTTTAATAAGAATCTGTTGACAGATTAGTTACGTTCCTTAATAGGCAAAAATAGTCCTTTCCGCGTTATCTTTTTTATTCTTAGAAGTATGGAAATACCATAACGTCCTTTTATATCCAGATAAAAAATATAAGTTGTTTAGCATTTTATACACTTGTCATTAAAGTGAATATTTTTCGATGATCATAAGGGTTCAGAATGCTGACTTTTTCTTAAGGTCAACTTTAGAAGAAGCGCGCTTACCATCAACGGCTGCAATGCCACTTACCATCTGGTGGGATGGCAGTCAAGTGCAGGCCAGTTTAGAATGAAAAAAAAAATATATGGGAAGTCACCATTTTTGATAATAAAAATGGTGACTTCAACACATGATGACATGTTAAAATAGATGTAGTTTGCCTAAAACAACATTTCGGTTAGAATCGCGCTCGGTCGCTCCTCCAATATTCGTGTCCATATCGTGTCGTACAGACGGGCACCAACAAATAACAGATAGAACCCAGATGCTTTAATTGACGGGTCGTAATTCGTAAGTGATTGTTCTCCACACTGCACGAATTTTATCAGAGCGCCCTCAAACACGCCATTAAATTAAAATAGTACTAACGCTGACCACGTTTATAACGAGGCCGGTTGATACGCAATGTGAGGGTTATTGCGACCCATTTTCAAAGGTACCTCACCGTTGCTTGGCGCTTTTAAAAGCCTTGTACTTTGCGCACTCTGTGCTAACGTAAGCCGACTGTTTCTGAACGCCCTTTGCATCCGTCTGTGGGAGGTTTTTATTTTTCCAACTCTTCGAAAGTTGTACCTTAGCCTCCGAGGTGTATTATTTGTTCGATAATTTCTTGAGCTAGTAAAATATCTCGGATTTAGACCTACATCGAAACTATAAGTTAGGCTGTAAAATCCTTACTAATATTATAAACGCGAAAGATTGTATGGATGGATGTTACTCTTTCACGCAAAAACTACTGAACAGATTTTAATGAAACCTTACAATAATATAGCTTATACATCAGAATAACACATAGGCTATAATTTATAAAGATATTGTGCGAATTGTCCAAAATATAGATATTCCGGTGTAAAATAAAAACTCATTGTTAATTGCCTTTGGCCGCGCGGGCGAAGCCACGAACAGCTAGTACTAAATATTTTACAACACGTAACAAATTCAAATATAGAGGAAATAACATACAAACCGATATATGTTATTTTCGCTAAAAGGCATTCTGCACATCCCTTGCAGCCACATGGTTGTGGTTGAGGAAGGTCCGTGTCTGATAGTAAAAATATTTGTGATCATGACGAGAGCAACAAATGCTTAGTAGTTGGCATTTGCTGACACGTTAAACAATACTTGCCTATCTGAGCTTCCTCGAACAGTGATATGAAATGATTAGAATTTTTTAAGATGTAAACTGTTTTGAAATTTAATGAATAGATGAACTATGGACTTTGTCTAAGGAGCGATTTCCAATCACAATGGCGTGATGCTATGTGTTTGTTTGTGTATGTCTTTACCGGCGTATTGCTTTCGAGCAAAAATCATTTATCTCATTATGAATGTAATGGAACGGAGTTTAAAGATTAGGGTTTGTATTTCGATGTAAATTTTTACATATAAATCACGTTAGTTACTAACTCTATCGATTACGTGACGTTTCGACTGGAATGACATCCATCGCTTATAAGCAGGATAATAATAAAATACTCAGAGTTATGTAGTGATTACAAGTTTTCATATCGAAATGCCCTGTTCCACAACCTGGACAAATATAAAATTTCATCACCATTTATCGGAAGAAATTATTTAAAAACAAGGCATAATTTTCAAGAAATACAAAAAATCGTAAAACATTGTTTTAAAATGAAGAGTTTTGTGATAATATCTTAGGCGACCAACCTACACGGATAATGTGATTAATAAGAACTGTGCTACTTTAACTGTGTATTATAAAAACGCGTAACTGTTATTTCAGACGCGTGGAAAATCTTCCCAAGAGTGGCTGTTCTCATTGTAAATTTGCTTTTTTATAACGCTTCCACATTCGGCTAAAACTCGCGGCCTTGTTTCATTGTCTCACATATATTTTGATATATTTTAATCATTAGGCTCTTTCAATACCGCCTATTTCAGGTATTCGCTTTTTATGGTTTGAGATATAGCAATTCTTCGAAAAGCGCAGATGCAATGTTGAGAAATTTTGATAAGCATTCTCGGAATCCGCGCTTAGATAATGGCCCGTTAAGTTTCTATTATATCGCCAAAACTCGTTGCAGGTAGGCAGTACCGTTTTTATATCTTAATTATAATGCGAATGCTGTTTTAAGATAAAATTTAATGAAAGTTGTCTATTTCTTTTGAACTGAGAGATGGTTTAAATTATAGCAAACCAGTATGATGGAATGCTGTGTTTAAACTCAAAGATTTTGTCTACGAAACTAAATTCGTACAATTTTAAATTCTTTATGGATAGCGTTTTACAAAAAAGTTTCATGATATTGCTTTTTGTGCTTGGAATTTACGACTTTAAATAGCCAATTAATATATCTATGTGGGGTCCTAAAATTATATGTCCTACAACAGTATGTGTGGTAATATACTAATACATAACTGTAGTCCTACCATTTCTAGCATTTTGCATCGTTTCCGGTGTTACTCTTTCGCCTCGTAAAATTCGCTCTACGTTTGCTCATTAACCTAATGCTAATGGAATTATTTCGAGTGCCCGTCTAAACGCAGTTCAAAGATGCACCACGGTTTCCCCAACATTTTTCTCCCATTATCACTCGCACGTGGCGTGCCAACTCCCCTCTAGATCAATATTGGAGCTAACAATCAACGCTCGGCGAACTCGAATCAAGCGATAAACGCTATAACGAGAGTTACGCGCTCTATGAATTTGTTAATACGAACGTTCCACAAACATAAAACCTAACGACCCGTATAAAACACACGTATTTATTACGCGTATTAATAAGCAGAAACGTCTTGACATTTTATTTCCCGTATGGCCCGTACGAAGCTCGCGATTTTATTGCGTTCTAATGTTTATTTACATGCACATTGGTTTTAATTCTCTTTATAGGTCCGATGAGTTTGTTTTGAATGACGTAAGACACTTACGGTCAGTGTCGCCCGCTGATTTAGTTGTTTGTGTGCGAAAAAAAAACAACGTCTACCGATGTGTATGAACACACGCGAAAGAAGACGGATGATAAATTTTTGAATATCGTTTTGGGAATTTAAGAATTTTCTTTGAACGAGATTGTTCCAATAAAAAACATTTTCCGCATAGATATTTAATAAGAAATAAACAACGAGATGTTATCTACTATAGTTAACATGGAAAGGATTGCTCTTAGGTATCTCTTAAAAATTGTAAACTGCATTGACATATCTAATCAATTGTGTTTACACATTAAATAGTAAACGAATGAGTGTCACTCTTTCTTCTACAAGCCCGTTAGAAAACATAATAGGTTTGTTTGAAACACGTTATCAACTGACGTAATTACTTAACAATGTCGCTACGTCCAGGAGCTAGCATTACCCTATTTGCTTTGCCACCGTGTTGAAAGGGGACGATATATTTTGTATTTAGTTTAATGGTGGACTGTATTTTCGGAACGTGTCCCTTATTGTTAAAATTTTCAAAAACTAGCTAACAATGTAATAAGTTATAATCTAAATTAAAATAATATATGTAAACGTTAGTCGTCGAGGAAAGAATTAATAGAAGATGTACAATTTGACACTTGGGAATAAGGAGAGAAGTGAGAGAGATTACGGAGTGTAGCGCGCCAAATACAAACTAACGCATTACATAAGCATATTTAAGCTGCGTTTCGTTTCTATCCGGTTTATATCCATATACGTAAACCCGCGGTCTTGCCAGCGTGGTCATTTTCGTATCTTATAAGCTATCTTCCGTTGTAATCCGTTCGGGCTTTCGCGTCCATCACCACGTCGCGTTAGTGCGGATCCCAGCGCTTGCCTTGACGTGTTGCTATTTTGTATTGGCGCAGTGCGAGGAGTTGCGCTCGCAGCTCGAGAGCGAGCAGCACTACTGCGCGGCGTACCGCACGCAGGCGAGCGAGGCGCGGTCCCAGCTGGAGGAGAGCAACCGGGCCGCGCGGGACCTGGAGCACGAGCGCGCCGGCCTCATGCACCAGCTGCAGCTGGCGATCGCGCGCGCCGACGCCGAGGCGATCGCCAGGTGACGGCCGCCTTGACCGAGGAGCGGAACGAACGAACGAACGAATGAATGAATGTTTGAATGAATCCCGATAGGACGTGCCACGAGCATGAGGGATCCACCTAAACAAAGAAGACGAACGAACGAACGAGTGGACGAGAACAGGTCGTGCTTCGATGCGTGAAAGAGATTGAGAGCTTTTGCTTGTTTCCGTAGCTCCCTCAAAGATTTATGGATTTGATGACATTAAATATCATTGAGTCATACATGATTTTGACTTCATGGAACGCCAGTGGGTTTAAATGTTTAGAATTACGTTCTACTTTTATTCTAGTCTAGCCCATGAACTAATTTTATTATAGAAAATCTTTTTGATCTGCTACTGCGAGGGTTCACAACTAGATCCTTAGTATGTGATATAGTTCAAAATAAGAAATTTGCTACAAAGACTGCTATAAGGTTTAGCGGTAAAACGATAAACCGTTTTAACCTATTTTATAATATCATATGAAATGTGAAATGTAATGACGCGTCCGTTCCGTGTTCAGGTCGATAGCGGAGGAGACCGTGGGCGAGTTGGAGAAGGAGAAGACGATGAAGGAGCTGGAGATGCGCGAGGCGTTGGCGCAGCAGAGCGGCGAGCTGGCTGCACGGGACGCCCTGCTGCAGAGCCTGCGCGACCGCGACCACGAGAACAGAGCCACCATCGACCTGCAGCGGAAGGTCGACTGTCACTCTTCAAACCCCTCCCCGCCGTCATTCAATCGTTATCGACTATCACTTTCATTCGTTACCACCCCGCCCAGTCGCTCACCATTCAGTCATTCACCATTCGCGATTCCACGAGAATAGAGCCGCCGTTGATTTGCAGCGAAAGGTCGAATGTCACTCTTCATTCGTTTCCACGCCGTCCAATCGCTCACCATTCAATCGTTATCATTTAATAATTCGCCATTCGCAATCCCACGAGAACCGAGCCACCATCAACTTTCAGCGAAAGGTCCAGTCTCATTCTTCATACGCTTCCACGCCGTCCAGTCGCTTACGATACAATCGTTTTCATTCAATTATTCACCATTCGAAATTCGTTCGATCAATCACTATATTATGCTCCAGTAGCCGTTTTTGTTACGATCTATAGCTAGCGCCTAATTACATGCCTGTAGACGTAGTTTCTGGCGATAAACGTAGTCTAGTAAAAGCCTGTACATTACTGTCTTTAAGTATACCCAAACTCCTTAAATTGGTTTAAGTTTGACGTACATCATATGCCATTTATTCCTATCATACCCCATAACTCATGTTCACTCGCTCCTTTATGATTGATTCACTATTGATTCCTTCATTGAGTAAAGGATGAATGTTCATCTTGGTAGCAAAGAATTGTCCAGCTAATTCTTTTATTGTTTGTGTTAAAACTCTTTCTCAGATGAATTGTTACTGTTGTTTATCTAATAGCATATGCCTATCATTTCCTGCACGTTGCTTAGACACTAAGAAGAATATTATGGAATCATTTTGGAAGATTGTTGAAACAAATATTAACAAGGATGATTTTTATTGCAAAATCATCCTATCCTTGTTTTTCTGCATTGTAGAACTCGAAAAATTTTATCAAATGTAAGGAAAACCAGCTTTTTTTTAATGTAAGAAGGTGGCAAGCGAGCTGGCGGTTCACCTGGTGTTAAGTTTCAATCGCTGCTCAGGGACATTTGCAAGATCCATAGAGTTTCAGATGCGTTGCCACCTTTTAATAAAGTGGACCTGACTCACCAGATGAACGTATGAACCACCAGAGAAGTAGTGTAGTAACACTTCCCACTTCATGCTGGTATTCTGTGAGATTGTGGTACTTCTCGGACATCCTACGAAAGTTTTATTGGGTTATTCATGAGGTTTATCGTTAAATCAACAGGAGGTTGACGAGCTGCGGCGTAGTGGTACAGCACTAGCGGAGCGTGTCGCCACCCTGCAACGGCTGCAGGAAGACGTGGACCGGCTCAACAAGAAGCTCAACTCCGAGATCATACTCAAACAACAGGCGGTTAACAAGCTCGCCGAGATTATGAACAGGTTGGTATTCATGGACAGATCCCAGTTCGTTTCTTATATTTCCCTACTACTGGGGCTAAACAACCTGCACACCAGCACTGCAGGACCTCAAGATGCAATTTGCACTTTTGTGTAGAACAGATTTAAATTAATAGTTTTTAAAATTGACAATAGTCCAGTTTAAGCCCGGCCCATGATTACGATTGATAAAAAAATATGTTAAACATCGGAAGAAGCTGTAAAAAAAATAATCTAAGCGAAAAAAGAGGGTATATCAAATTTTAAGGTTTATCAATATTGATGTCATTAAATTGCAGATTTTTTATGGAATTTTCTTAAAATGTTGTGTATTTTTAATTCCCATAACAGGAAAGATATGAACCCAGCGACGACAAAGAATAAGAGCAAGATGTCGGTGCGCAAGGATAAGGACTACCGCAAGCTGCAGCAGGAGCTGACCCGCGAGAAGGAGAAGTTCGACCAGCACATCTCCAAACTGCAGCGGGATCTTCAGGAGTCGCAGCAGCAGCTGTTGGAAGAACAGCAGACACGCCTGCGGCTCGCTATGGAGGTATATAGCTGAAGAATTAATCGGAAACTTTATGTATTATAAGTCTTTGGTTGGACGAAAACTTTCTATTTTCTATACTGTTTTCTTCTATTTCTTATTATTATTTTTTTTTCAAATATTCTGTCACCTGTTGAGTGTATGTGACTCTGATGTTTTAACACAATGAATAGTTTCAAAGTGTGCTATTTGCAGGTTTCTGCGAATAATTTAAACAACAACGTTCGGCAGATAGTTTACGTGGGTACGTCCACGTAACGCTAAGTTCCAACTTCAAGTTTAGTAGTATTTATGACTTTGATAACAATTAGTATGTTAATAAATGTTATATAAAAAGAATGTCGTATGTGTGGCCGGTACTTGATTTTGGGACTAACAATTATCTTGTTAATACCAAAGAGAAGGTAATAGAGTAACGGTGTGGCAGGTGGACAGCAAGGACGTGGAGATCGAGCAGCTGAAGGAGAAGCTGGCGGCGCTGACGAGCGAGACGGCGTCGCAGTCGTCGGCGGACGCGGAGGACGGCGAGACGGAGCAGACCCTCGAGGGCTGGCTCTCCGTGCCGCTCAAGCAGAACATCCGCCGGCACGGCTGGCGCAAGCAGTACGTCGTCGTCTCCTCCAAGAAGATCATCTTCTACAACTCGGAGAGCGACAAGCAGAACACCACGGACCCCGTCATGATTCTGGACCTGAGGTCGGTCGCCCACCACCGGTTTTATACGGAAAACCTCTATGAAGGAAATTACAATTTGTGTCATTCTACTTATGTATAACTGTTGTTTTGAGTCGGGGGATTCAATTCAGCTGTTAAGTTTATAAAACTAGTTCAGTTCATAATATTATATATCTCATAGAATTGCAAACAATTATTGGTTCATTAATCATTCATTCAATCATTAATCTACTATGGCAGTGGTAAATAACTTTCCATTGGGTATCATTATTATCGTTAATCGGTGGCGCAGTTGCTAAGCTATTGGCTTCGACGCCGAAGGTCGGGGGTTCGATTCCCACCCGACATGGGACAATTATTTGTATGAACCACAGATAATTGTTCCAGATTTGGGGGTTTGTTCCCTAGGAGTGCTGACATCAGTCGTCGTAAAAAATCTAGCTAAAACTACTTACAACATGAATCACATGTTGTGCTAACACCTAGATGGGATAAGGACGTTAATGATAATGATTAAATATTATTGTAGATTAATATATATCTCGTATTTTAAATATGAAGACTTAAGTATTTCGCCTCGATAAAGTGGCTTCAAAAAGTGTGAAAAGGAAGATGTAGACATTGCTGAGCATGATAACAACGAATATGATTGGAAGGTGTTGGGTAGTAAGTCCTTACGACCACTGCGACCTAGTAGATTTACTGCATACCAACTACCCTAACGTAGATGACGGTGATGACTGGAGTGATGACACTAAGAGTGACACTGTGAAGGCTTCTTCGGTTGCCAACTCGGGCCGTCCCAGTTCCCGATTTCCCGAGGGGTTATGAGCCGGGGGCCTTCTTTGGGTGCCCACTCGGGTCGTCCCAATTTCCTTCTGATTTCTCCGCCAACTCGGGCCGTCCCAGTTCCCGATTTCCTGAGAGGTTATGAGCCGGGGGCCTTCTTTGGGTGCCCACTCGGGTCGTCCCAATTTCCTTCTGATTTCTCCGCCAACTCGGGCCGTCCCAGTGCCCGATGTCCCGAGCGGTTAAGAGTCGGGGCTTCTTCGGCTCGGGTCGTCCCAACTTCCGAGCGACTCGCCGAGCACAGCTTTGCCCTCGCATTTCCCGAACCCCAATATTTATTTATTTATTTTATTTATTTATACTTTATTGCAATTACCTTAATCAAGGATTACAAAGGGCGAACTTAATGCCTTTAGGCATTCTCTCCCAGTCAACCCGGGGCGTGGAGATAAATTGTGGTAGGTGCAATAAAAAAAAATATCGCCAATATCGCTGAGCGTAGCGTTGTGCGCCCGCAGCAAGGTGTTCCACGTGCGGTCGGTGACGCAGGGCGACGTGATCCGCGCGGACGCGAAGGACATCCCGCGCATCTTCCAGCTCCTCTACGCCGGCGAGGGCGAGGCGCGCCGCCCCGGCGACTCGCCCGACGCGCCGCAGGACGCCAACGACCACGCCGGTGATTGCTTTTTTAAAACCACTTCAGAAAGGAAGGAGGTTTTTTACAGACTCCAAAAAAGAAGGAGGTTTTTAACCGACTTCAAAAAAGGAGGTTTTTAACCGACTTCAAAAAAGAAGGAGGTTTCTCAATTCGACCGTGTATATAATTTTATATTTTGTGTGTTCGCGGATTACTTCGTCGTTTATGAACCGATTTAGATGATTTTTTTTGCCGCTATAACAACAAATACTAAAAAATCGAATAAAAAAATGTTTAAGGGGGCTCATTACTAACTTTTTAGTGAATTATCGCGAAACAATCTGGTATGACCAGAGGTAGTAGTCTTGTCAATACGCATCTCTTTTTCATAATAGAGTGGACGTTAATATCTTTTATCGTACTTCATTCCAGGCAACACGGTGCAACATAAGGGTCACGACCTAGTCAGCATCACGTACCACATCCCCACTGCGTGCGAAGTGTGCACTCGACCTCTCTGGCATATGTTCCGTCCGCCGCACGCCTACGAGTGTCGACGTGAGTATTTGCTCTTGACATTCTATTGAATTGATTAAAATAGTTCGAACGCTTCACCTGATGTTAAGTGATAACCGCTGCCGCTGTTCGAGATGCAATGCCACCTTTAAATGAAGTGGGTAAATAAGTTACAAGGTGATATAAGTTCTCATACTCGGGCTGTGGTTGACTGCGTATTTCTGTTTATTTTTTTTAAATTCTATATTATTTAGTTCCTTTTATACATCTTGCTCATATCACCATGCGGCTCTATAAGACCCGTAAGTGCGAGTGAAATGGACATAAAGAAATGATTTGTGTTCCGATAACTCAGTTAAAAACGCACCGAGTATAGTCGTCGCTTTGGGGGCGTCCATTTATTACTTTCGGTGTTAAGGAGGTGGGAGAGATGGGAGGTTTTTACATCCGCAATGAACCGTGGAAACGTTTTTAGAAGTCCTAAATCTAGTCTTAATCCAAAATAATAAATAAATGTTAGGCAAAATCTAATGACTAATTTACATTAAAATATCCATTTTGAAAAGTCTTACGTGAGATCAAAGGGCGTCAAGCCAAATCTAACCAACTCATCAATGGGTGAGGGCATTCAGTAAATCGCCGTAATCGCCACACATAAAACCAGTGGGCACCTCCTTTAGGGATTCAATGTGTTCATCGTCCTATCATGGCGTCTAGCCATGTGGTCTAACCAGCATAGGAAATAAGATATAGTTAGAAATGAAAAAAAAAAAGCGTGGGATGCCATCGAGCACATAAGAAGAATTTAGTGCACTGTCCCAATGAGCATCGTCATATCATGGCGTCTAGCCATGTGGTCTAACCAGCATAGGAAATAAGATATAGTTAGAAATGAAAAAAAAAAGCGTGGGATGCCATCGAGCACATAAGAAGAATTTAGTGCACTGTCCTAATGGGCATCGTCATATCATGGCGTCTAGCCATGTGGTCTAACCAATATAGGAAATAATGCCATCGGGCCCTTGGGACCGCGCAGGGTGCCGCATGAAGATCCACGCGGAGCACGTGTCCGAGGGCGAGGGCGTGGCGGCATGCAAGCTGCACGCGGACCGCGCGCGCGAGCTGCTGCTGCTGGCGCCGGCCGCGCAGGAGCAGCGCCGCTGGGTGGCGCGCCTGGCGCGGCGCGTGCAGCGCTACGGCTACCGCGCCGCGCACCACACCAGCCACGAGCACACCAAGCTCTCGCCCAGGTGGGCGCCACAAGGACCTAACTCATCACCGGCAACTTTTATATTATAACAGGGAGATTTTTTGATAAGTGCCCAAATTTTACACAGGAGGTTCAGACTCGGTAGTATGATCGTTTATCGAAATTAAAAGAACGAAGTTTTTTTTTTCCAAAAAAATGTCATTCTATTACCTAAAGAACGGAACGTGTTGACAATGCGGTAGTCATTCATAAATACCTAAATTTTACTGTGCACTAACATGTGTGCGTGTCAGTTATGAATGATCGCGCGCAAAATAAATGAGTTGCATATAAATCGCGCACTTTTTGAGATAAGTTCAAATCAATGTAATTAATTACTTACCAGTGATTTTAAATATTTATCATTTTTATATAACATTATTTATGTCTAGAATTTAATCAAAAAAAAAATGAAAAAATCACTTAGAAAAGCCATCCTGTATATATGTCTATGTTATAGGTTAAAAAAGAGACCTTAGAGTTTCTTCTCTGGTCTGGTCTAGTTTAGTGACCCGGTAGTAGTTCTTTTTGACGTTCAATAAGAGGTTAAAAATAATAAAAAAAAAACTTTAATTAATCCTGTATTTTAAAGTAAAGTAACAGCCTATACATGTCCCACTGTTGGGCATAGGCCTCCTCTGTAGATAGAGTATCAGGGCATAATTCACCACGCGGCCCCATTGCGAATAGGCGGGCTCACATTCAATATTCGAAATATTTTTTTCCTTCACCGCGGAGCACGTGATAACTCAGCACTTAATTGTTGCCGGCAGCTGGGTCGAACTGAGGTTGCTCGAGTATATTGAATTAGATACGAGCGTCCGGACCACCACCGAGCTATCACGGCGTACATTGAATAAAGAAATTTTAAACTTCGAATGTAACGTGGTGTTCGCGTCAAAATTGCAGGGACTCGATGAGATCGAACTTGAAGGCGGCCTACATGAACGCGTCCCAGCGCAGCTCGACGCTGCCCGCCAACGCGTCATTGCCGCGGCAGTGACGGAACGCCCGCACCGTGCGCCCGTCGTTCGACCTCGACTGGAATGTCAACGAAATCGCCCTTCCGCACTGGCAACATTTCACGCTTTATCTGTGCGAAATTCGCTACTCTGCAACATGCGAGACCGCGCCATAAAACAATAAAAAAAGTAATGTGCGAAACCGGGCCATAAAATTAAAAAAAAAAAAAAAAAAGTAACCTGCGAGTCTTTACTTACGGGCTGTCTAAAAGTGATTTATATGTAAAGAATGGTGCACACTAATACGCAATACAAGGCCTCATTTGTTGTTTCGACTGTAGCAATTAATGTTCTTTTAGGATATTTTTTGGTGGCCTATCGTGTAGCGCTTCGAATTGAAACTCAATTAACAATTGAAATTATGAAAAATTACCATAATATAACGAATTTGATATACAATTATATACATATCTGTCGTCAGTAACACAAAATTTTAATATCTCCCGTTTTAAATATATTTATATAAATATCTTAATTCACCCACATAAATACTAGTCCCATGGTATACATTTAAATATTATACAAATTTAAATTAAACGAGTGTTGTCACTGTGATATGCATATCGTTGTACTTATCCGTTTCTTTTTTTTTTAATTTCATTATTTTAGATCTGTAAAAAAAACATATAAATTTTATTTAACATGATTCTCATTTGTTTGGCATTTTCGCTTAACTTAGGCTGTAAGGATAAGACAATCGTGTGCGGCGGTGCACTATGCTATTAATATTACATTAAAAGGAAATATATTACCGTTATACAGAAGTTTGTACGTTTAACTTTAAATCGATAATCGCATATTCTTTATTGATAGTTGTTACAGTAACGTAATATATTAGTTCTCGGGCTGACCACTCCTGTGACGGTATATTTCTCTACCTGTCATACTATTATTTGATTAATAAGAAATTACGGTTTTATATGATTGCGGTTAGAAACGTGTAAATATTAGTTTCATTTGTGTTGATGTTTAGTTTTTTCTTTATTACGCTTGTACGATACGTAAGTGGTCGCGTTGTTTCGGATACGATTTGTTTTAGATTGTACTTGATGCGTTGAATTTGTGCTTTTACGCGTTTTAGTGCTGGCGGTTAACCAAGTGTGACGCGTGCTTCATATGCGCTCTTGGGAATGCTTTATAAGGCCTAGGTTTGAGGGTGATATAGCCAGTGACCGAATTGTGGACCGGCACATTGAAAGGCGACGGGGAAACGTTTAAATTAAAGTGCACTTTGGTTAATGTCTCGCGGATGAGTCGTTGAAGTACTAAGAATGAATACGTCGAAAAAAAGAAAATATTGTTCGTTTTTTGAAAAGTGATGACATATTATGGAATACACGGCTCTAAACCAACCTTTAATTTAAGTATCGAAAAGTGTGTGCATAATTTGAAAGCAATCGTGTCCGTAATTTTCATATGAAACCCCAGGTAATAAAATAACAGTTCTTTTGGAATAGATAACTCCTATAAATGTATCGCAATGAAATAAATGCTATCAAGGTAACCTACATTAAAGTTTTTATTAAAACTCAAGTAACGTTTAAGGTTTTAGTAAATCAACCAGGCGACTGTAAGTTATAATAAATGTTATGAGGATGCTCACAGATGATTAAATATCTGCGATATAATCACAGATACAATAATGTAATATTTTTAGGATATACATAATTATGATGTAGCTGTTTAACCTAACCCCACAATAATCGTGAATTTGCTAAGGAATTGATTATCACTTCTATAAGACTATGCTAAAACAATAAATACACTATACAAATAATTATTTACAACAGCGCAATGTAGAGTTTCTTATCTAAAATTGGCACTTCCCATTCTCTGTTTTTTACAATGAATGCCCATGTTTAATATTCTGGACCCCCGACGTGCTATAAGCAGTCTGAACTATATTGCGGTTTGCAAATTAACGAAGGACAGTGCCATAATTATTTTTGTTCATAGTATTATTTCTCATCTAGTTGCTCAAACATTAATAGCTCTTTTATTCCATATGTAACTTAATCCAGGACTGTGATGCGCTTCCCATAATCGATTGATAAATTCTAATTGATGTCTCCAATGTTGTGTAACAAATATGTTAACAACACTTATATTATAAGCAAATATGTGTAGGTATCCAAAGCAATAAAGGAAAATCAGTGTCTTATAAAAGCTTAATTTTATACATAATTATTATAGCACGGAAATGTTAAGTGCCAAATATCGTTCGGCCTGTGTATTTTAAATAAAAACATTGAATTTCTATCGAATCGTGTACAAATACGTGTGCGAGGAACATTTACCTTCAATGGTTGTGTATTCTATTTATATAATTACCAGGGCAAAAATCGTCGTTTATAATAAATACAGTGTTCCGTTTCAACTGCACGATAGTTGTATTGTTGGAATGACTTTGTGATCGAAAAGTACAAAATGTAGTTGTGAAAGTACATACGACTTCACACGGTTCGGTTGCGTGACTGTTGTTGTTGGTCGGCGGACGTTGTGCTCGACTGTACCCGAGATCCCAGCGCGCAGGTCGGACATCGCAAGGTCTGTACTTGCGAGAAACGGGGCTATGCGATCCCGTAGGTCATTGCGAGCAGGTCGGACCTCCCGCAGTCTGTACGGGCTAAGACACGGGGCGATGCCTCCAAGGTCACACTGCGCGCAAGTCTGACCTCCCGCAAGGTCATTGTGACCAAGAGACGGGGCGATGCGACCACCGAGGTCATTCTGGGAGCATGTCGGACCTCCCGCAGTCTGTTCTTTGAGGTCACTGCGCGCAGGTCGGAACTCCCGCAGTCTGTACGGGCTAAGGAACTGGTTGCTGTGACTTCCGAGGTCACTACGCGCATTTTGGACCTCCCGCAAGGTCTGCATGGGGAAGGAAGAAGGGCGATGCGACCCGGCGTGTCAGGCTCGGCCGCTGTGATATAGACGTGTCTAAAAACATCCGTGGTGCTAAAGGGTAGCACGCTTCCGACATATTATTGTTACTCATGGTTCTTGTTAAAGATATAGGCGAAGTTTATTAACGCTATACGAACTGTTTACATTCCTCCGACGAGAGCTATGTTGAGTTTTGTTTAACTTAGTTTTTTTTTATATTGACTCATGTTCAACTGCTGCTGCTTGACCAGTTATCGCTTTTAGGTTTTATTAGGTCTTAAGATTTAAGCTGCCTCTGTTCAATGTAAGCGGACTTACGGATTACATATTAACGTACTTAAGTGTTTTTATTCTTCTATTTGATAAATTCGCAATTCATCGTAGCGGTACGCTTATTTTTGAGATGCATTTTTTAAAAAGTTTATTTTGATAGGGCAGCTATTGCATTGTTCTCGTTACTTCATTCCATCGGCACACCGTTGAATTATTTTTTGTTGCGCTTGTTTGGTAAAAAGTATAATGTTTTTTTTATTGCCAAAGAAATTTTGGGAAATTTATAATTGATACATTATGATCACATTGTGCTTTTTTAATTATTCCACCATTATTATGTTTCCATGCTTATGATTATCAATCCAGTATAATTATTAAGTTGTTATATTTTATTCATAATTCATAGCGGATTGTTTGGCGCGAGATGTTTGCGGAGTATTTTTTATCCGTGTCGGCGTCCGATGCATCACTTCAGAAATACTTCCAAATGGTCGCGCACATAGCGTCATGTCAATAAAAAGGCAATGTTCAATCCCCATTTGTAAATTATTTATTATTACTTTTATTACATCTATTATTGTAACGTTTTATTTATCATCTTAAAATTGTAAGTTCCTAACTAGCTAGCTTCAGATTTTGTAATAAAGAGAAACCTCTCAATTAGCTGTAACCGCTGACAATAGCCCATTGGAAATAACTGAAATAACTAGCTATATCGTGACTATATTTTTATGATCGCTGTATACTTTGATGAACTTATTGTTCCGATCTTGATAAGGAGTTGTCTCGTCCGCAGTGTGCGGTGTGACGTCACCCAGTGCTAACACTACGTGCCTTAGCTACTTGGCCCATCCCCATATCATCTAGGCATACTATGTTATATGTATCGATAGTTATTGTAATGTACATATGTTTTCAAATAAACCAATATTTTATGGATTTTTTAAGGAATTTTGTATATTGTAAAGATTATTATTAATTTTATCGTAAAATTAATGCCTAGCTAATAAGAGCTACATTTGTGAGAAATAAATAACATTTTAAAATCTTATTGTTTTATTTGCGATACCTCTTAGACAAAATTAAATGGATTAATAAATAATTTAAAACATAAACACGTTCTAACGATAACAACAGAAATTAAAATGTAATGAATTATAATTTACATATTATACTGATTCAAAATTTTAAACATCTTAATAGGAGTATATCATTAATATAATTCTTCAGTTACACTTTATACTAAGCAACAAAACATGATGACTTTAAATATAACCTAAAATAACTAAAAGATCACAACAGTAGTGTCTCTAAATTCCCGTAAGTTGCAGTTACATGTTATAGAGATGTGAGAAAGCCGCCTCGTGGGATTAGAAGCTTTGAAAGTCGAATAGAAGTTCTCAGAAAAGTCCGACGGCTTTCTTCATTTCCTTCTGTTTCCAGCTGGGCAAGGCGCGGAAGTCGCTGTATGACATGTTGAACGTAGACACGAAGTCGTCGTGCGTTAGGTACAGCTGCATTGATTGAATACGATTACTTTGCGTTTTCGTACATTACTTTTGTGAGAAAGTGGCAAATGAGCTTGCGGTTTCACCCGATGTTAAGTGATAACCCCCGCCCAAGGACATTTTCAACCCCCCTAAGATTGCAAATAGGTTGCCACCCATAAATAAAGTGGGCCCCGGCTACCTCACTCACCAAACGAAACGCAGAAGTGTAACACTTCTACTTTACGCCGGTCTTCTGTGAAGTCGTGCTAGTTACCCGGACTGACCTGACCAACAGTGAACACTTGCGTGGTCCTACCACAGTTAAATATATGGTTTTATACATAAAATACAATCATCTATAAAAACCATAGGATAAAATAAACTGTTTTTTCGTGATTATGTTCGAAAACATATCTGGTGCTTTTATGTTGTCAAATGTTGAATCTGAAAGAACATAACAGGGCTTATGACGATCAGATTAAGATAAAAAAGGAAATGCGTCTGAGTCATCAGACTTGCGACAAGGTCTTTGGCTCCAAAATCCAGCGTGAATTTTCCACAGATGCGAGATTAGTATCTGCGGCGTTATACGTGAACGTTTTGCCTCTGGACCTGTCACGTAAACTGTCACCAAGTAATCTTCGTGTTACTCTCTCGGGTTGTCGATTTTCTAGACTTTTCTATCTATCCTATATGAAGGTTTAAAGAAGCGAATTGAAAGAAAGCACCTCTTTGGTGAGGGGATCGACATCGGACGGCATATGTTCCTTGGGTCCACGCAACACGGCAAGCGGGTACTTCCCGTGCTGGTCGAATTCGTTCGCGTTGTTGCCGCACTGCAGCGCGCTGTTGCCGCCCTGCACTATCGCCTTTCCCTCCAACGCGCTGATGATGGCGCCGAACGTCTTGTGGTTCTGTTTTCGTAAGTCAATCGATAAGTATTACGATTGAAAATTTAAGAAAATTTAGGTCAGGCCTCGCGGCTAACTTATCTATATGTATGATTCATAGCTGCACACTTAGTTATAATTTACTCCTTCATACAAATTCACTGCATTAAGCGTATGATCACATGGCTGGCAAAATATTACTATAAAATATAATAATATGGGTTCGATTCCCACAGATAATTATTCCCGATCTGGTTGTTTGTTTTCCAAGAAGGATTGACGTCTGGCAGGCGGCAGCCGGTCGTAAAAAATGTAGCCAAAAACGCTTACAACATGATTCACTTGTTGTGCCGATCCTACTTAGGTGTGATAAGGGCAGGATGATGATGATTATGATGATGAAATATCATTTTATCTTTATATTTTTTTAATGAAATATGTTGGGTGGATTGACACAAAAGGATTGGTTGTACTATTGCATATTATTAAACACTATTTTTCATTTATATGTATAAGGTTTTTAAATGATTTCAATAAATAATGTACGGGTATTTCGCACCTTCCACATAGAATGTTTCCAATGTGGGAAGAAGCCAGTGAAGTTTGGAGGCTCCCGACCTTGGCTGAGGACCAGAATAGGTGTCTCAGGATCACGAGCCGCGGGGTCTGTTAATATAGAAGCAGTACATAGTGACGATTATTAGAATTATACAGCGTGTCGTTACCATCGCGACAATAAATGAACACACGTCTAACGCTACTTGCCAATAATCATAAAAAAATATTAACATTAAAAAAAATCCATAATAAAAAAAATTTTTTTCAAACAAACTAATTAATTAAAAAAGAAATAAAATTTGTAACATCCTATACAACTCGCGCCACAGCGTCGCATTACAAGCCTCTCCTTCTAACAGTATGTTTTGTCTCTTTTAAATTCATTCAACCCATTCATATGCTTTGTGACCTTTACAAATGAACTTTACGTTACAGTTTTATACGTAAGGATGTTCTAAAATTCTTTGTTTTGGAAAATTTAATAACTCTGTAAATATTGATGTTTAAAGAAAGTAAATGTTTAATACAATTTTAAACAGTTATCCTCTATATGTGTGTTCATTTATTGTCGCGATGGTAAAGACACGCTGTATAAACGTAAAATGCTTTAGTATTGGGGCGGTGCTTGTACGGTGTAAAGTGAATATTTAACTTTACTACATCAAATAAATTAAAAAAATCTTTGTTATCGGGGATCGTGGGTTCGATTCCCACACGGGACATATATTTGTGCGACCCACAGATAGTTGTTTCGCAACTGGGTGTTTGTCCGCTTGAAATTTATGTTTGTTAAACGTCCTTACAACACAAGATAACGTTATCCTAAAGTGGGGGCAATATTTTTAAAAAAGAAGAGGAGAGGGAAGTGAGAACACTACGGTTGTGTGTAACAACGTTATCCTAAAGTGAGGGCAATATTTAAAAAAAAAGAGACGAGAGAACACTGCGGTGGTGCGTAGCAACGTTATCCTAAAGTGAGGGCAATATTTAAAAAAAAGAGACGAGAGAACATTGCGATTGTGCGTAGCAACGTTATCCTAAATTGAGGGCAATATTTAAAAAAAAAAGAGACGAGAGAACATTGCGATTGTGCGTAGCAACGTTATCCTACAGTGAGGGAAATATTAAAAAAAATAAGAGAACGTTATCCTAAAGGGCAATATTTTTAAAAAAAGAACAGTGCGGTTGTGCGCAGCGGCGTACCGTGCGCGAGGTACGCGGCGGCCAGTTGGCGTGCGTCGTCCTTGGCGCGCGGGCAGCAGTGCTCGCCGAGCCACACGAACACGCACGCGTGCGCGTCCAGCACCGCCGCCATCTCGGGCGCCAGCTCGTACTGGCTTAGCGATATTATCTCCTCGACTGAAACCGACAACACCGTTGCAGGGGGCGCTGCAGTACGCGCTACTATTAATAAATAATTTAGGACACATTCTTGCACCACGTCCTCTAGTCGCAATATAAACAACGCTTGTACTATGGGTACTAGATAGCTGATAATCATGCTTTTCTTTTGTAAATAAATAGATATTATACATATATATACACCCAGACACTAGAAAAACACTATGTTCATCACACAATATTTTTCCAGTAATGGGAATCGAACCCACACCCTCTAGCGCAGGAGACAGGTACACTACTCACGACGACGACGCCATTTAGGTCGTCAACCGAATGACGTAGTGAGTAGTGTACCTCCCTCCTTATTATCTATTAAACTGTTGTATTAAACTGCTTGAAAATAATATGTATGGACTACTACCGTAGTTTCTGGACGTTAATAATTCCTGGAGAAACATAAATTTAATTAAGATAAGTTTTAAAAAAGTCAGGGAAAAAAATTAATGAAGAAATGTCGACTCACAAGAATACTGGCCAGGCGCACCAATGGACACGTAAAACAAACGTGGCGGCAGAGGGCGCTCTACTTCCGCCAGCGGAGAGGCCACTAGCAAATGTCGCCGATCTCTCAGAGCCGCCCAAAAATCAGGCTTCTCTTTACCTGTCCCATCGTCAATTATTGTTTAAAAGATGTATGAGATGATTGATAAACATACTTAAACATACTTTTCTTTTGTAAATAAATACACGTTATAAACATATAAACACCTGTGGTAGGGTAGGACACACATACTGTGGTAGAACCATGCAATAGTTTTCGCTGTTGCATGAATGGGCAGGTCCTTTCGGATAAAGTACCACGACCTCACAAAAGACAGGCGTAAAGTAGTAGTGTCACACTTCTGCGTTTCGTCTGATGAGTGAGGTAGCCGGGGCCCACTTTATTTAAAGGTGGCCACGAATTTACCACCCTAAGTGTTGCAAATTTCCATGGGAGGCGGTTATAACTTAACATCAGGTAAACCGCCAGCTCATTTGCCACTTACTCATATAAAAAAAAACCCAGACACTGGAAAAACGATATCATCATCACACAATATTTTTCCAGTAGTGGGCATCGAACCCACACCTCTGGCTCTACCCATTAGGATATTCGGGCATCGAACAAAAACGTGCAAATGGCTCACCCTGCATGACGAGCACGTGCTCTGCGGCGGCCATGTTCTTGGCGACCTCGCGCTCGTCGCCGGTGGCGCACGCGGCGCACCACACCCACACGCGCGCGCCCTCGCGTAGCACGTAGCACGCGCCTCTACCCTGCGCCGCGCCCTCGTAGCTTGCCTCTACGTCGCGCCCCTGCCCCGCGCGCTCGTAGCGCGCTTCTTCTCTGCGCCCCTCCCCGGCGCCCTCGTAGCGCACCTCTACGCCGCGCGCCTCCCGCGCGTACTGCCCCGAAACGCGGATCAGCACGCGTGACGGCGCCACCACGCGCCTCCCGCTCGCTTGTTGTCAACAAAAGAGGCACGTTTCTTTATGCGTACAGGTGTCTAATATAAAAAAGTTAAGTTAAGTAACAGCCTATACATGTCCCACTGCTGGGCAAAGGCCTCCTATATACAGAGGGTATCAGGGCATAGTTCACCACGCGGCCCCACTGCGGATTGGTGGATTTCACATATTTTCGAAATATATATTTTTTTGTTATTATTTCGAAAATATGCAGGTTTCCTCACGATGTTTTCCTTCACCGCGGAGCACGTGATAAGTCAGCACTTAAAGTTAAAAACTTCAATGGTGCCGGCACCGGGGATCGAACTCAGGTTGCTCGAGTATATTGAATTAAAGGCGAGCGCCCGGACACTGAGCTATCACGGCTCTTGCCTAATATAACTATAATATTTTTTATATTATTAATATTCTAGGACACATCTTCACACAACATTCCCTAGTCCTGTTTTTTCAAATGGTTTTTCAAATTTCATTTGAGTTTGTTAGAGATTTCATAACATTCCGCTAAGGATTACTGGCCACTTACAGATAACAGGTGTTACATTTGAAAATTGTACTGTTCCAGTGTGTGTCAATTGCAGTCGAGAGAAAAACGTCTTTGTAAAAACTGTCTTTCTATAATTATGTATTTCGTGTTAATTTAATATATTTTTATTATTCTATGTGTCAATAATTTATCTTCATTGAATTCATCATTGATTGGGAATAAATCTTTCCCATCAGGGTTATGGGCCAAGATGAATACTAGTGAAAATAAGGAAATGTCGCATGATGGATATAAAAATGAAAATTCGAGTACAGAAATACGAAGTGCGGGCGTTAATGCTGCGTATATTGAAAAGTTAGTAGGAAGCTCTAATTTTCACACATGGAAGTTTGATATAGAGTTGTATCTAACGGATGATGATTTGTGGAAATATACACAAGCGTCACCACAGCCGGAGGATGTAGCAGGCATTCGTAGAGACCAAAAAGCACGGGCTCGAATTGGTTTGATGGTGGATCAGAGATGTCGCACCTTGATAAGAAAGACAAAGACGGTAAAAGAGGCCTGGGAGGCGCTAAGCAAAGCCTATGAGGACAAGGGCATAAATGACAAATGTCGATTGTTGGGCAGATTAGTTAGCATGAGATTGGAGCAATTTCAAACAATTGAAAAATATGTGACAGCCATACTGTCAGTGTCACAGCAACTTAGTGACATTGGTAAAGATGTTGATGATGAGATTCTGGCTACATTGATGCTTCAAGGTCTCCCAAAGAAGTATGAACCATTGAAGATGGCTATTGAAAATAGTAATATAACTATTACTACAGACTATGTCAAAACGAAGTTATACAACCTAAGCGATGAGAGCACACCATCAACTAGTTTTCAACAAGATGATTCTGCTCTTACAGCAAGCAAGAAGAAAGGGAAAGGAAAATTCAAAGCAAACCAGAAAGCTAAGGCGATGAAATGCTTTATATGTGAAGGAAGTCACAAAGCGGCTGAATGCCCTGACAATCCTAACAGAAGAAAAAATTATTCGGCATCAGCAAATGTTTTTGCGACCAGTGGTCAAGGATCTTCAGCGGAATGGGTGATTGACTCGGGAGCGAGTTCACATATGACAAATGATAAAGGTTGGCTGAGGAATTATGTGGCGTATGAATCGAAGAGAGAGATTGCATGCGCGGATGGTGGTAAGGTGTATGGCTTAGGAATTGGTGATGTAGTTGATGTGGATGGGAGCATAAGAGTGAGAGACGCTATGTATGCTCCTGACTTGGCTACAAATTTACTAAGCGTAAATACGTTAGTCAAGAGAGGTAGAGTTGTAGTTTTTTCAAACAGAGGTTGTGAAATCTACAATTCGGATGATTGCGAGGTGAATGGATCAGTTGTGGCTGGTGACTGTTGGGTAGATAATGGCATTTATAAACTTAATCCTTTTCAACAGGGCACTATAGCACTAGTCTCCAGTATGCAGAAGGACGATCAACTGATGTTGTGGCATCGGAGGATGGGTCACCTAGGAGTAAGCAATCTTAAACTTTTGAGAGACAAACTGGCAGATGGGGTAAATTTTCTAAATTCTAATAGTAACTTAGAATGTGTATCTTGTCTGATGGGTAAGCAAACAAGGCAACCTTTTCCAAAGCGTAAGGTTAAAAGAGCTAGTGAAGTACTTGAGTTAGTACATTCTGATATTTGTGGGCCAATGAGTATCAACTCTATGTCGGAGTACAGATATTTTATGACACTTATAGATGATAAGACAAGGAAAACTTTTGTCTACTTATTGAAGAATAAGAGCGAAGCTGTTGAGAAAATAAAAGAATTTAAAGTTTTTGCAGAGAGGCAAACAGAGAAGAAGCTGAAGTCAATCCGAACAGACAACGGCAAAGAATATGTGAACAATGAAATGAAAAGTTTCACTAAGAAGTACGGTATAGTTCATCAACTTACTGTCGAGTATACCCCTGAGCAGAATGGGGTGGCAGAACGTGCAAATAGAACTCTCATGGAAAAAGCTAGGTGTATGCTGCATGAGGCAGGATTAGAAAAACGCTACTGGGCAGAGGCTCTTGTATATGCAGTTTTTCTTAAAAATAGGTCGCCTACGAAGGCTCTCAAGGATAAAACACCTGAAGAAGCTTGGACGGGAAGAAAGGTGAACCTAGGCTTCGTGAAAGTTTTTGGGTGTAAGGCCTACACGCACGTTCCTGACCAAAAGAGGCGCAAGCTAGATCCAAAGAGTAAGGAGCTTATACTTTTAGGATACTGCGAAAATTCCAAAGCGTACAGACTGTTGGATCCTGTTTCTGGAAATCTTCATAAGGCAAGAGATGTAGTATTTTTTGAGAATAATATAGTTTCACGGAAACAACCATCTAGTGAGATTTTGACTATTAGACAAAATTCTGCTTCTCATCAAAGACCGATTCCGGAGTTCACTGTGGTACCACTAACAAGTACTCAATCAACGGAGGAGGTGGTCTGTGGAGAAGAGATAGAGGATGGTTGTAGAAATGAAACAGAGAGACACCTCTCAGGGAACGGAGGAGGTATTATGATGCCTGAGTCAGAGGATATTGGAGCTAATATAGAACAGGACAGAACAGATGCTGTTTCTTCAGTTACGGAGGAGACTGAAGACAGAGATGATACTGAACAATGGTATCTGAGTTCCGATGCACCCGTTTCGGAGGAGAATGATCATAGAGGTGATCAAACGGATGCACGGAGATACCCTATGAGAAAGAAAGCCACGACAATTCCCTGATCACGTTCTATATCAAGCAGTTCTACCCCGAGAGAGTGGTTTTGGTTTGGAGGAACCTATAAATGTCAGAGAAGCACTCGCAGGGACAGACAGCTTACTTTGGCGTGAGGCTATTAAGGAAGAATTGGATGCTCTTCACAAGAATCGAACTTGGCAGCTAGTAAAGAGAGAGCCAAAACAAAACGTGATCGATAGCAAGTGGGTTCTTAAAGTTAAGACTGAAGCTGGAAACAAGCAACGATATAAGGCAAGGCTTGTAGCGAGGGGCTTCAAACAACGCGGAGGTGTTGATTACTTTGAGACATATTCACCTGTGATCAGGCATAGTTCATTGCGTCTTCTGTTGGCAATGGCTGCCGAGAATAAATTAAAAATTGATCAAATGGATGTGAAGACCGCTTTTCTTAATGGGTACATTGAAGAGACAGTGTACATGAAGCAACCTGAAGGTTTTGAGGAGAAGGGAAAAGAGGATTACGTGTGCTTACTGAAAAGGTCGTTGTACGGTTTGAAGCAGGCCCCAAGAGCTTCCCGTGGAAGTTGCCAGACCTCCTATCGGGCGCGTCCCCAGGTGGCGGATAGGGGAATGTCACCCAGACATGGGTGATACCGGGAAACTGGCGTGGACCAAAACTGGCAAGGGGGGGCCATCTGGTGATCCTTTTCAGGACCCCGGGATGCCAAAGGGCTTAATGCCCTACGAGGCAGAGCCTTCTAGGCGGGCCTTAATTGCTCCCAGTATCCCTCTTTCGTGAGAGGGAACAAGGGAAGCAACAGGGGGGGAAATAAAGCGAGATGTATGAAAGGTGGGTGTTATGTGGGGGGGGGGGGAATGGGTAAATAGGCTGAGTGTTTGCGTGATGTATGGAAGGAAGTCTCCGAAAGGGGACGTTTGACTCGTGCGGTGAGTTTGCCAAGCGCACTCGGCTTTGTCGACACCGGGCGATCTCGGTACCCTGTTGCAGGTGTCGTGGACATGTCTCGCGGCCTGCAGCAGAGCTGAGGGTCTTACCTTCACCGGTCGGACCGCGAGGAGTAAACCTCACTAAAAAATCCGCCGATTCCGGCGCTGCGGTACGCGGCGTGGGCTCGAAAGAGCGGCTGGGGCGTCAAACCAGCCATTAGCGGCCAACCCTGGGTACCTCCCGACCCCCAGGTGTATGTAGGGTTACCGGGCTACACGGTCACTGGCTCGGTGGACTGTTTTTACCTAATATTCGTGGGATCATTATGGCAACATTGAATAAACCAAATACCAAAAATGACAAAAGCGCTAATATGGACTCAGACTTGCTATGTGAGTTGGTAGGTGAAGGACGCGCGGGCCTGAGAAGGTCTGCGTCTGTTGGAGAGTCGAACTGGGTATCTGAGGATAGACCCTCGAAATTTTTCGGGGATGTTCGGAAACGCCCGAGAAAAGAAGGCGAGGACCCTAACGTCAGCGGGACCTCGAGTGACGACGAGCAGCCAGCTCAAAAAGTGTTGGCTGGGAAAAGAGGCCGGGGACGCATTGCATCCCCTATCTTAGTTCAGGATAAGCGGGGACGGTACCTCAAGCGAACTGACGTGCAGGGGGAGAAACCCATTCAGGCTGACTATTTGGAGTCTGAAGGCGTAAGCCGGAAAAAGGCGAGCGCAACTCAGATCAATGACGCTGATGTCCACGTTGAAAGAGGCAGGTCACGTACGACAAGGACCAAAGGCAAGTCTGCCCTGATCGCTGC